TGGCAGACTGGCGTATGTGTTTCCTTCCTCAGAGACATCCCAATTTGACAGAGCTTGATCACAAACAATACTTTCCGTGGCACGCTTGTCCTGCTAGTTGCTGTGTGTGGTGTTACTTAAAAAAAAACGAAGGGTGCCTTATATTATTTGTTTAGATGTTTTTTTCACAGCAATATCCTCTGCACACATTAGCGTACTCCATGTCTGTAGCTTTTTCGGTGTTGCGTTGATTTCCTTATGTGGAGCAATTTGTTTCGAATTCCCCCATGTCTGAGAGAGATGCTTGAGTCTTGAATACTGCATGTTTGAGGTTCATGTCTGGTTAGTGATGTTTTTCGAATAAGTTACATGCGCGCGCCAACTGTAGCAGTTATGTAAACTTAACCTTCATTAGCAAAGGAGGTCTGCGCAACACCTCGCTTTTCTAAGCATTTTCAGAACTGTTCTACCGTAATACAATTGGAGCCACCCTGCATTTAAATCTGTTTACACTTCATGAATAAACTTCAACTTCTTACCATGTACTACCATGCACCTAAAACAGCAGCCTGTGACCCCGTTCACAAAGCATTGTGTTATCAAAAATTTATAGAATTGCCACTTTGTGACGCGTTTTTAGCGCCAAGTGAACCATTCTGGGACAAATTACAAGCCTAGACTCAGCCAACTTTTCCAACTCGCCCGTCGAAAAGGAGGCATGTGTTATTTTACAACGTTTAAAGCAGTGTGTTCTAATGTTTTCGGTTTTCTCAATGCACGTTTAAGGGGAGTTAGGCAATTATCTATAGCTGATTTGGTTGCTGAATATGCATTTGGGCCTTGCAACAATTTTTATTTTGATTTTTATCGATCCCATCGAGGTTGTGTATGAACAAATACAATTCTAAAAGATAAACCAATCAGCGGGCAGGAAAGGACGAATGCATTGGTTGGTATGTCGCGAGTAACTGTGCGCTAGAGACATGGCCATTATTTTGGTTGCTAGGTAACGTAGAACAATCACATTTCCCTGGAGTCTGGCGCAGCTGAATGTAAAAAAAAACAGCAACATAATGGCCGCCGACATCGCTGCGCTGGCAAGCTGCCGTCAGCGCTGACAAGTGACATCCTCGAAAAGCCATTGGCTAGAACTACGAAACCTTCCTTATGATATCGACGTGTTTAGTAGTGAATGTTGCTTGGGGGCTACCCAACCACTTTGGTCTTCCATGCAAACCAAAGGAAATTTGGGGCCGTCGCAACATCGCATCAGTGGAGGCGAATTTGTAGAAACGATGACACAAATTTGTAAATAGAAATTCCCCATCATCCTTCGTGAACAGCAAAACCGCTAAGTTGGCTAGACACACTCTCCCTAAATGTGGTGACAGCGTTACCAACAAAATGACCACTAGGTTTTTTTTGTCATTTTTGATTACATTTCGGCTACTTCATTTGTCTATCTCCGTGTCAGAGGATTTCAAACATTGGCTAGATTGCTCTGCAAAATCTGAAATATTTATTGGCCTGTGGTCAAGCTGCCAATGCAATACTTTATCCAATAACGATGATGTATGTACCTTTCAGGTTCGTGCCACTGTATATCACACACGCATAATTTACGTCCAAAGGTAGAACAACGTTAATGCTATGCTTTTTGGGGGTGGGGAATGGAGTTGTTGATATCATTCCATGCAGCTCGAATCACTGTACCTTGTGCGTAAGCAAAGAACGGAAAGTTTGTGCGTTCAAAATTCGTCCAAAGTTCCTTTTCTGAGCAAATATACATGCTTGATTAGCCAAGATCTCAAATGCTTCTTCTGAAGACTTTACTCGATAGCGCATAGGATTTTTTGCCATTGGATGGCAAGCCTTCTTGATTATACTTGAGCATCATATTAACATAGCAAGCAGTACAAATTGACATATATTAAGAAGCACAGTATTACCGCAGACAGTCACCGCACTTGCAAATGACCATCATTGCATGGTTGGTTACCAACTTACCTTTTGTGTAACAAGTGGCAAATTCATTGATCTCACTCTTGCAATATGACGACCAAGAAAAATATGACGTACGAGAGACATAGATACAGACTTTATCACGTACTCGGCAAGTCTTGTGTATGGCGCAATTCGTTAGCATTCATCTGCTCACATGCACACTATGATATCTGAAGACTTTCAGATAGCTGGATATTTATTACAAATAATGGTTGGTTATGGGAGACAAAGAAATAAATGAGGAGCAGCTTACGTGAAAGCCTTATCTAACAAGGAATTAATAGAGTCGGTGACTTGCACGAAAACTGTCCTTTTATTTTCAAATTTCCAGCTAACGTGAGAAACATGCTTAAAAATGTGCGACCTACCGAAAGAAAAATCGACCATGAACTGACCGCAAGGTACGTGAAAAAATCCGAGAGAAGAGACTGACTGAGTCGAACAATTGGTGTTCTTAGATTAGCTTAGTGCTACTTAGACAGATTAGTGCTACTTAGATCAAGGAGCATTATGAAGTAGCTTGCCATCGACCAACGCGGTTTGTCACTACTTTTTTCTGCCAAGCACAGGCGTCCTGCCCGGGTGAGGATTCGTCCACACAGTGGCCACTAGGAGCCCAGTCAGGGTACATTGTACGTAAAAATGACAGACGCATACACGAAGGCAAAAAAGAGGCCACGGTCACGATACAAGTAAAACACAGCAACGAAATCAACTTGTCATTCATGTTGGTATGACACTTAGGCACGCCCCGCGACCCCACACCTCAATAACAGCAGCCAGGGGAATTCCACGCACGCGGGCCCGACAGGAGATGGTTGTAGATATTCCTGTCAATGGACAGGAGAAGGTTCTGCCTGACTGGCAGCCAACATCTCTCCAGCTGCAGCTCTCCTGCAGCGGCGGCTCTCGCTTCTCTCTGGGATACCTAGAAGCGGCTTACAAAAATGTTTTGAGGGCTGGCGGGCAGTAGCGTTCGTTCAGCGCGCCAAACATTTTGAGGTAATGCACCATTACGCTCGTGCTTAGCCACCCCGAACGACTTAAAGACGGGTGAGATCTGGATCCGCGACAGATGATATCGGGCGGCGCTGCTCCAAACAGGGAGGCAGTACAGTAGGTGAGGAAAAGCGACCTTTACCGCGAGCTCAAAGACTGGGTATGAAATGGTGGCGAGTATGTAGAGTGAAAAATGGATAGCGTTGTATTTGGGAATCACCGCCGATGTGTGGGGCTGCCAGGTCAAGCCTTGGTCTATGGCCTTGCCCAGGACGTTGACAGCGGGACATGACGGGATGCGTGGACTTGATAGGGTGATGCAGAAGCTGTGTGTCTTTTGGATTGAATATTTGGTACCAAATATGATGAAATAGATCTAATCGAAGTTTCTTTAAGTCGGTTGGACTGACACCGATTTTGAAATTTGTGGGAAGGAGGGAAGTGGTCCAGTAGTTGAGTATCATCAGCATAGGACAGAGCCGGCCATGGGAAAGGAATGGAGAAAAGACAGAGGAATGCCCGACTATGGAGGCCTGGACCCCACCGTGGGCCAATGGGAAAAATCAGGTCAGAGCCACCCGCCAAAATCTGCTCCAGTCTCGCAGGTAGTCGTGGAGCTATCCGGGTACACATCGCACCATTATAGCCTGTCCAGGAGGAGGCTACGATCACGCCGTCAAAAGTTTTGCGTCAGATGTGCGTCGTCAACGACACGTCACCCGCGTCAGTAATCTTTGCGATCCCACTCGACTGAAGAGCCTTTTTACTCCGTGGAGTAAGCCTTTCTATTCCCCGGGTACTCACCTTCTCCATGGAGTGAAAGAGTGACGGGATCGGTACGGATATTAATTTTAAAACAGTATATGGTTTTCCTGTAGATACGTTTTCCTGTAACGTACCACAAGGAGTGCGCGACAAACGAGGCTCATTCGCTTCATCGATACCAAGAACCGGAGGGGCATACGTTCTCTCAGGTCGGAACTGGCCATCTGTCACGATGCCGCGAAAAACTCAGGAGCGGCCGACGGGGCAGGAAGCACGGTCTGTTCCCCATGGAGCAAAACGTGCCGCTCGCCCACAGTTGCGCCCTATGAGCACGACCTTGACCATAACGAAGGCCAACACATGCGCGGTAGGATGGCAAGCGGCGCCAGATGAACATCTGAAGACAAAGATGCATCGGAACACCAAGCCTCAACTTAGAAAATGCTAAAAAATGTTGCATAAGGCTCCATAGCACGCGCCACGTGCGGTGTGTGTGGGGCCATGATCTGCATGCACTGAATGCATGTGTTGAGTGCGAGAGTTCATCTAAACTAACTGCAATTTTCAGGTATGGACGGTGGTACAGCAATGCCTATGCGCATTTGAACGCCGTGATAGATGCCAGTGCTCATTCATTATGGTCGCACCCATTCTTTCCTAATATTGTTCCCTCAAGGTTTCCAACATGAATGTTCTCAGTGCACATGCATCCTTGTGCATATATTTAAAGCTAGACGTTTGCTTAAATATGCTAGCCGGCACGGACACTTCAAGTGCGAATGTTCTCGTCCATGCACCTGTGTATTGTTGTAAACACGACCACAACCACAGCAAGCATGGCCATGCCATATAGAAGTTCGTAACACACAGTCTTTAATCATAAGTTAGCACCAAGTAATGGGGCGCGTGAAATGAACTCCGTTTACTCTAATCATGAGAAGTCCAGTTCACATGAGCTTCATTCCGCCTGGGACGTCGCTCTGCTTGTAAGGCCGTGCAAACTCGATCCCGCAGAATTAGTCAACGTAAGTTTGCCTGCCGCATTACACTGAACTGTCGGCTCCGCGAATTGTTGAAAGCCATCTTCAGGACTCGTTTGCTTCCCACTGTTCACTATCTCAAAGTCAATACAAATGGAAACAAAGCACCGGATCAGACCAAAGGGACTGTCTACAGTGTGCAAAATTGCACTAAATAGTCCGCAGCAAATAACATATGGTTGTGATGGGTATGTTCGAAACGAAACTGCACGAACACGGTGCGCCTATGATAGCCATTAACATTCTCATTATTGTTTACCTTTTCATATGCATTTCGGTAATAGCGCAGGGTGGTTTTGAAGATTTACGTGCTGGATCTTTTCCCATTTCATATTTCAAGAAATGCGGCTGCAACGAGCTCATTCCCACTATTATGGACGGTTCAAAGCGCATTAAATAACCTAGATTGGTGTCGCGTTCATAATGCCTGTGGGCATCGGAGATACAATTAGCGAAACACCATGCGGCCAAACACGTCAATGTTTCAGACCCGCAGTTACTGTCAGGTCAGCATTACCGGCCGCCCGGAGCCTCTCACAATATTGGATCACGCTGCGATACTGTCCGAAGCACTACCGTCAAAACAAGCCGGATTACATTCTTCACTTATGCCATTGTGAGGATAATTGCAAAGTAATTGCACGGATCCGGCGGCAATTGAGGGATCTAATCATTTGATTCGCCGTAATGTCGAGCGCTATTCCCCTGCCGCATGTGTCGCGCCCGAGCCTCGCGCTCCCTAGTGGCACCCGCCGCCCCCGGCTCCACCCTTTTACACCGGCATAGCGTGATTCGATCCACTTGCAGAATTAAAGAGCTACGCGAGTGAATAATCGTCCCAGCAGCGTGCATGACGGCGCTAGTGGCCGGGGACTTGTAATGACAAGTTAAGTAACATAACCGCGTGAAATACGCGCCTCCAGCGGCCGCGGCGCGACCTCTCGGTCCAGGCTCGCGCTATCGACCCGGCCGCGCCATCGCCCGCCAGCCGATTAAAAATTCATCCGGTTAAATATGCGCCCATTAATTTAATCACTCCGGTGTAAACAGTTACTCGTAACGGAGCCCGGTGGGCAGCAAATACGCGGCGTCTGGTACCTAGTTTGGGTGGGCTCGCCGCGCAGCGAGCGCGGCTCGATGGCAGACAACTGTCACTTGGCGCGCAATTCTCGTGTTTGCCGCGCCGGCTTAGGCACGGGCGGCAATCCGAGCCGGCAGTCCAAGAGGAGTACAGCGGCTGTGAGCGTAAACAGGGTTTTTTATTCAAGGACTCTCACGCCAAGGATGCAATTTTGCTCAATGCATTTCCGAACTGGGATGCAGTTGCACTGTCTCTATTGTAGCTGCTATAACAAAATGCTCATGCCCATGCATGATCCGTTATGCTCATGCTTTCCTCATGGTATGCATTATGCTCATGGTTTTTCGGCATTATAACTTTGCATTACTGAAAACCGGCCTTCAGTATACCAAATACCGTTGACACGAAAATATTAAACGATTGTGTGGACATATGAAAATTTTCGACGCACCCAGCAGGGTTTGTGGCCACGAATGAAGCACCTGATCGAGGCTATTAGATGAATCGCGCTAAGCTACAGGATCTTAGCAGCGCCACAGTGTACTGATGACTGCCCGTTGCTTCGCAGACGGCTACATCGGCTCCAGAATTATTGGTGGTTGCGTTTTGGCTTCGCAACTACGATCAAGGCAAAGGGCTGCAGAAGCAATGATCGTGTTAGTCATGGAATCCGTAATCATCCAAGGACGGGTCATTGCTTGACGGCATTTGAGTTTGTAGAGGACGTTGATCGATAACAGGCCACCCGTTTTTTTCCGCAGGGCAAAATTCAAGTTGTCTTTGTCTGTGCCGGTAACATCCGAGTCGTTTTCGACCAGGGACGGGAAAGACCCTTGCTACAAATGCAAACAGCTTGCTATAGAGTGCGCTGCACCCGGTGTCGTGGGCACAGCGTTTTTAGTCCGAGATCGCCGACGTATTCCAGCGTGTACTGCTGTCATCAGCAGTCCCAGCAGCGCTGTTAAATGCCGCTGATGAAGGTGTGCAAACTGATGCATGAAATGAGTCGTGCGAAGTGCATGCCACCGACATTAGATGCCGCTGTGGTCCAGATCCAGTGTACTGAGTTGGTTTGCGAAGCTTTCCGCTGAAGCTCAGAGCGCTCCACTTAACTATGCCTGCCCCTATCTCCACTGATGACTTTGGGAACAAAGATAGCGAGTCGGAAACGTGTTCCTAAATTAATTTAACCGGTAATCTGAAAAGTTAATTAGCATTGAACGAATTAGATCTCGGGGGCTAAATGGTGTAATTTGAATCAACTTGTGTAATTTGCGTGGTATGATAATTTGATGCGATTAATTTGCACCAGATTATTAACGATGATGAGATGACATTGACGAATGGAACCTGGTCGACGACCGCGTGTTAAGCTGCAAATAAGGACGGTGGTAAAGCAATTCTGGTCGCTGCTGTTCAAACACACGCTAGCATTCACATAAACTTATGTATAGTCTCGCGCAATGCGGTTATGTTTTCACGTGCGTAACGCAAAGCTCTGACCTCAGAAGTAATACGTTTTCGTTGTTTGATGAGTTGCGAGGCTTTAACGAATCACAGGCCGGTCAGCGAATCACGAAGCGCCTGACGTATCGCATTTTTACAGCCTAATCAGGGGCTCGATAATCTCCGCGATGCCGTCACTTAATATCAGAGTGCCGTCCCAGCAAAGTCACAGCAGGACCGACACGTCCACCGCATCACCAGCACTGCACGGCGAGCGACAGGCCCATCCTAATCCCATCAAAGTCACTCGCTACAATTGAGTGAAACAATTTGTTGGCGTAACAGGCAATTTTGCATATTGACGGGTTTTCATGAATACGTAAGCGGGGGCCGGCGCCGACTGCGGCGGGTGTGGCTGATGTGATTCTCGCTCGCCCCCGGGGACGCTTGTTAAGCGTTGCTGAGCTCAGCATCCCCGCCGCCCCTGTGCCGTGTCTGTGTGCTGACCGGCTGCTGCGGCGGCCGGGGCTGCTGACCAGCGTCGGACGGCCGGTCTCGGTCCGGTCCAGCCTGCGCTGGCGGGGCTTGGACGTACAGATTGTGCGGTGATGATGCATGCATTGGGCATCCTCAGACATTAGCTCATCCCCGTGGGACGGACCCACCAGCGTTGTGCCGGTCTCTTGCGATGTTTTTAAGCGGAGGTACATCACTGCAGCTATCGTCATATTTTTTTTTCTCTCCGAACGTCTTTGCATAAGTGTCTCCCACGATGAACATTGTTGACATGAAAAGCAATGATCGTCACTTTGCACGTAGCATCCATGTGCGGAATACACTTGTGCTTTGAAACAAACAAGGGTGATCGGTCGACGACGGGACGGCTGCAGCTGTTTCGATGGTTAATTGACGTGGCGTCATAAGGAGTCAGTGCAGGAAGAGATTGAAAAGCTTGGCTGCGTACACGATATCGCCTTACGAGCTCTTCGCCGACCCGTTCCACACGACCGACCAGGATGTTGGGCCGTCAATATCATATGTGCCGATAAATAAGACGGCTGTCATAATCACCACAACATGTTTAGGCTGTGCCCGGGTCAGGCAGACCAAATATACCTCTGACGCAAAGCTCACGTATGTGTGGTTTGATTCACACAGCTGGCTTGCTCTGCATGCTGGCCGCGTTTGGAACTTCCCGGACATCGGCGCCAACCTGCCCGTGGTTGCGGTATTTGACCACCGATGTGTGCTTCGCCCACCACAAACGATGGATGCTTGACTGCCAATTGACCACCTCAGTCTGCACGCACCTCGCCGGCTGGAAATATGAAAAGCGGACGTACAGCCCGTCGGAAATCACACACAGCCTTTTTGAACTATAAACCGGAACTGGAGCTCGTGCGTGACTTCAGACTGGTCCGAATACAAATCCCACGGCTTTCGCCACGGCCCGGGGTCAGTGGTGCCTTCGTAACAGGCCAGGGGGCGGACAAGGAAAGCAGCCGCACTTCCCCGCTCCCGCCACCGCCCTCACTGCTCGCGTCCCAGTGGTCCTCAAATCGGGCGCGGCGGGACGCAGGACCCCTGCTCGTAACTTCCGCCAGTGGCATCCGGCATAATTTGTCGCGCTGTTTACCCGCTGGCCGGCGCTGGCCTGACGGCGTCCTGATTGGTTGCAGGCTGTCACGTGACGAGATGGAGATGCCCGACTCGACGGTTGAGTCGACCGGCGGCGGAGGAGGGACACCAGAAGTCGACCGAGTCGGCCGGCGGCGAGGAGACATCGCACAAACAGAACCAGGTGCGAGGCCATGCCTCTCGGGGCCGGACTCGAGACGATATCGCCGGAGGCTGGAGCACGGCCCTGGGATCTGTTAGGTGGTGTCACTCCGCTCAAGAAAGCGTGGGTGTGGGTGGGTGGGCAGGGGTGGTGATGGTGCTACCGCGTCAGCTGCTTTGTTTCGGCGGATAAACACCCATCTGATATTCACAGATCGATTTTCGAAAATGCAATATTCTGACACTCATGGCACAGCTATCCTCAAAAATAAAAAGTGGGACGTAACGTGATACCTTGAGACCGTATGGGCCCGTGCCACAGGTGAACAGCGTCGTGCTGTACGGTGTGCCGATCGTCTCCCTCACCATGGACGGCAAAGACCGACTCTGCCTGGCGCAGATCTCCAACACGCTGCTCAAAGGCTTCAGCTACAACGAGATCCACAACCGGCGCGTGGCGTTGGGCATCACGTGCATCCAGTGCACGCCCGTGCAGCTGGAGATCCTGCGACGTGCCGGCGCCATGCCCGTCTCCAGCCGGCGCTGCGGCATGATTACCAAACGCGAGGCCGAGCGACTCTGCAAGAGCTTTCTGGGCGACAACTCGCCGCCCAAGCTTCCCGACAACTTCACCTTCGACGTGCTGCACCTGTGCGCCTGGGGCTGCCAGGGCCAGTTCTACCCGGCGCGCTACAACTCATCGCGCGCCAAGTGCATCAAGTGCACGCTGTGCGGGTCGTTCTACTCGCCCAACAAGTTCATCTTCCACTCGCACCGCACCCCGGAGGCCAGCTACGTGCAGCCGGACGCCGCCAACTTCAACTCGTGGCGCCGCCACATCCGCCTGCACGGCAGCCCACCCGAGGAGGTCGTGCACGCCTGGGAGGATGTCAAGGCCATGTTCAACGGCGGCACGCGCAAGCGGTGCGCGCCGCCGCCGGCCGCCGCCGCGCCCGCCAAGCAGGCGCGCGCCGAGACGACCGGCGGCGGCGGAGGCGGGGGCGGCGGCGGCGGCGGCGGAAGCGGCGCGGCGCCGCTGGAGCTGGCTGCGCCCTACCCGGACCTGGTGCGACCAACGCCGAGCCTGGTGGCGCCTCCAGCCGCCTGCTTCTCCCGCCTGCCAGCGTTCGGCGCCTACAAGCGACTGACGGCGCTCGAGCCGGCCACCTTCGCCGACTACCTGTGGCCGGCGGCCAAGTGGGCCGAGCTGGCGCCGCTGGCGCCGGCACATCTCTGGCCGAAGCGGCCGGCCTTCGGCTTCCCGCTGGCCGCGTCGGGTGTGCTTGGCGGTCTTCTCGATTACTCGGGGCTGTACGCCGGTCTGCCGCCGCCGCCTCCGCCGCCTCCGCCGCCCCCACCACCCGAGCCGGCCCGGCAGCAGAAGGCGCCGCCCGCCTCCGCCTTCCGGCCGCTGCGGCAGCCCTGGCTGCCCGACCCCACCGGTGGCAGGGCGCTGCTCGACGCCGAGGTCAGGGGTCAAGCCCTGCTCGACGCCGAGGTCAGAGGTCGCTCCATGCTGGAGGCGGAGATCAGGGGGCACGCGCTGCTCGAGGCGGCCAAAGAAGGCGCTGCCGGCAAGACGCAGGATGAGAAGTCGTGCAAACGCGTCCACGACCGACAATGTGGGTACATTATTCGTACATTTTACAGATGCCACTGTTGTCTGTAACCTATGGCGCGTTGCATGCGATTAATAAGTTGCCGGTTACAGACCATTTATGATACTTTTGAGCCTGACCATAATAATCGGTGGATCCCCGGCCATACCTTTGGGAGACCGAGCCTCACGTTTAGCAAGGCATTCGAGTTTGGCCTAAGCCAACGCCTGCAGACGCTTTGGTTGCAGGCGCTTGATCACAACTCAGACTTAATTTATTGCAAAAATATTAAACTCATCTCTCCGACCTTTTACCAATCCCCCCGGTCAATGTGCAACCGTTGCGCCATGCAATCACGTCCCGGGCATCTCCAAGCACCGCTTCGGCTGCTTCGGTGAAGACGTCGGTTGGCAGTCGCTGCGCCCTCCGCCATTGCCCGGCGGCGCCGCCATTTCGCCGCGGCGCTGATCTTTTGCAGCATCGACCTGCGCTCGCCGGACAATCGCAATTATATTAGCGGTAACAAAGCTGGCGGCTCCACAAACATCGGCCATCAGCAGTAGTTATTGTAGTGCATCGGCAAATGCAGGTTAACCGTTGGCGGCGCCCGCCGCTCGCTTTGTCGCTGACGGCGGCAAACACGCCCGAAGTTTGCTCAGGCTCCATTTTCGTCCAGGCCGCGCGCCGGCGCCACCTTTCACCACTGTTAAATTGTCCCTTTCATAGTGACGCGGGCGTTAATGCATTTTTGCGTCGTTTTATTTAATGGGAGCGGCGGCCGACTTTGCTTTGAGGGCGGGTCGGGCCTGCCGCCCGTATTGTGGCGATTAACCACTCGGGCACTCGCTATTGTCGGCGGCAGCAACTAATCGACGTTCGGCCCGGCCGCCCGCCAATGGAAGCAATCAGTCAGGCCCGAGCTGTGTACAATGCCGACCGCCGACTTGTTGCCTATCCTTTTAACATGATTGTGTCGCATGCGGCGCTGAAATAATCACTTTAAAATGTCCATTGATTACCGCATCGATGCGCCCTGGCGGAGAGGTCGGCGCGCTTCCGGACGAAAATTCGGTCTGTCGATGGGGCGCTGGTCTGAAGGGAGGACATTCATGAGCATGCATTCCACGCTGGTCGTGTGGACATCGACCGCTATTGGAGACGGCTAGCTAAGTAGGACCAGCGGCTCGCACGCTGAAAAAATCGTGTGACACAAATGGCAAATTTGTCACGGAATCATCTGTAATCTGCTGGGTCAAAGATGCTCGAGAGCGTAGGGCATACGCACGCATATTGTGTTTTCATACCCACTGCAATGAATAACGCGGCGTGGATGTAATATAGAAATATACACACTCACACAATTACTGTACGCTTATTACTAGTATATGCACCTTGACAGAAACTGCATAGAGGTTTTCAAAAAGGGAGTAAAGCACACATATTAATTGAGTGAGACTTAAGAACAACTTTCATAACAGTTGTCCGCTTTCACCGCCCATCGATAACGCCCACCATTGCGCTCTAACGCGACTGCGTGCTTTAACCACCAGCTCTTGGGAGCCGCTACTCAAGCTAACTGACCTACACTCCACTCGACTGCTCCCTGCACGCGTTACCCCCAGATCTCGCCGGGTGTTGTGAGCCCTATCATTCGGCGCTTGCCTTTCGGGGCGGCGGAAGCCAGCTGTCTAATGACATACCGTTCCCGGGCGACAGCCACCATTTGTCAGCTGTTTTCACTCGCGAGAGCCATTACAGAAATGACGTCGGGCTTAGGCCGGAGCCTTTAGAAGGCTGCAAGGGCGGATTTCGTTGAATGCGCTTAGCTGGATGTTCTTAAAAACTTATTCTGGGAGAGAATGACGCTTGCCGCATCAGATGGCTGGTAATCACCATTTTTGTCTTCCTTAATCCTAGCCGGCCATTACCAGCAGCACACAACAGGCTCTTAAGCTCTCTTGTGTGAATATCATGCCGCTTTGCTAATTACTAAACTGACCCTATATAGCTGTCAATGACTGACTGACGGACTAGAGGAAATCATTACCTTTTTTGTCCCCTGTCTGCCAGTGCAAGACTTGTGTTGGCGTGCATCACCACCACAGGCGCGACACTTCGGAAGCCATTGGAAAAACCTGGGCAACGAGCTGAACGAATTGTGCGCAAGTGGCTAGAAGAAAAAGCCTGCCGGTTTTCTCGTGTCGTGTTTCCTCATACTCAAAACTTCCTTCGGAGGAACTTTGCGTTCTCCATTTGCATACAATTTGATCATGCGCAAATCTCTGCAAATGCAAACTATCACACACACACGGGTCTTCGTGTAGACAAATTTATGTATCGCGCAACGTTGCAGTCTCAAAACGTTTTATATGTAGTTCTGCTCACATTCTTTCCCTATTCGCCACATTGGTACTCATCAGAAGCAGCGTAGCCAAGGTTTTTGGGCTTCCATGGTCCCGTCCTTCTCCTGATCCGAAGGCCCAGCGCTGTTTGAGTTTGAACAAATTGTGTTGCCCTCTCGAAGAACTTAAAAACCTGCCGCGTGATATAAAAAAGAGCCCCGAGGCTAACAAGGTCTCCCAAAGCCGAGAACAGGACGAAAGATGTCGAAGGAAAGAGGGACCTCGTGGCTGAAAGAACCTTGATTAGCTGATTTGGCCCCTCGTAGGTGAATCCTGACCACAAAACAGAACGCCCTGCAAATTTGCATCCTCTGGTTAAACCATATAACTATGTTTTCTCACGCATGCGCTGATAGCATGGAAATATGGACTTCGGCTGATACCTGCCCATTGGTGCTGTGGGTGGCGGATCAGCGAAGACATTTTGGAGGCGCGTAATGTTACGCGAAGATGATATGTATATATATATATATATATATATATATATATATATGTGTGTGTGTGTGTGTGTGTGTGTGTGTGTGTGTGTGTGTGTGTGGTGTGTGTGTGTGTGTGTGTGTGTGTGTGTGTGTGTGTGTGTGTGTGTGTGTGTGTGTGTGTGTGTGTGTGTGTGTGTGTGGTGTGTGTGTGTGTGTGTGTGTGTGTGTGTGTGTGTTAAACTACCCAGGGGTGTATGCATATGCACGTCATGCCACCTCACTGGCTGCTGTTTGCATGCTACAAATTCGTGGGCTGATCAGACACATTGTTTTGCATTCCCAAACCAACATATCCAGCTCCAGGCAACGGCTGAGTCAAACCACGGTCGTGCCAACCAAGCCTTCCGATAAAAAACAGAATACTTTCTAGGTGCAGCTGATAGCATAGGAAAATGATGCTTCTAGTTAATTCCCGTTTTGGCGTGGCGACGAAATGAAAAAGCTGTGCAGTGTCCGGGATGCGAACCCACAGCTTGGAACACATTGGCTAGAGCGTTCAGCGATTTACCATCCCGGTTCAAACCACAGGTACCGTTTTCTAAAAGTCCTCGTCCAAAATTGAATGCAATGTGCAAGGATGGGCCAGGCGTCCGTCCAAAATAGTCTAACAATCAGTATGTCCAAAAATCTCCAGTTTCACAAAATTGTTATTTTGTCCCAAGAGCGCCAGTCGTAAGGCGGTAATCCAAAATTGATGGGAACTGCGAGAGTTGGGGACATCGGTGCTCGCGCTCCCATTTCAGTTTATAAGTCCCACGGCCCAAGAAATATGTGGCAGTGCATGCCGTGAGGGATTTTATCTCATGTTCAAAAAAGAGTATTTCCTTATCTACTCTATCTCCACCTTGTTTGTGCTCTGGACTTAAATTTTTGAAAATAAGGAGCATTAAATAAGTTGAGATGCATATAATTTGCAGAGCAACAGAATAATATGGGCCGTCCAAAAAATCCAGATGTTTATCCCTGTGCGTCTAATTTTAGAACTAGGTTTTGAAAACGTTTGAAATTTCAAAAAAGGAGTCCAGTTTACACCTCCAGTTCTTAGAGCAGGTATATATGTATGTATACATATGTATACGCATATATATAAATATATATATATATATATATATATATATATATATATATATATATGCATATATAGATATGATTGTAATAAGAAGGAATGCAACCAAATATCGTACAAACAGGTATTAAACATTTTTTAACAAGCTTTTCTTAAGGATCCTGATACGGTTGCTTACCTGTGAAGTTTCGTGTAAAGGTAACTGCGACGCGTCGTTTTTTTTTGCCATTTATGCAAACCATATCCCTTGAGTGCAAAACAGAAACTCAACTCAAGGAAAATAATTGTTGCCTGGCATGTTTTGATTCCTGCTACCCCAACTGCCAACTAATCATGTTTGGTGTGACTCTGCTTGGACAAAGACGCATTCCAGTTGAATTACTTGATCAGAACTGCAAGTGTGACCTGGTCCCGTTGTAACTAATTTGTCGTGCTTCCAGTGTTACCATACCCCATTTAGCTCGGCCTAATTGACCTCATGACATTCCCGACCGTGTTCGACAGCACAGTCAAGCGCTCTTTTATGACCCATGCAATCCCGTTTTGCCCAACCTTGTTGGACACAAGTCGTCCGGTCTCAATTGTCCTGACACTGATGATGATGTCATCCTTGACTGGGTATCTGACTGATGACATGACTGATGATGATGTCATCCTTGATGATGACATGGCCATGACTGACATGATGGCCATGACTGACATGATGACCATGACTGACATGACTGACATGACTGGCATGACTGACATGACTGACATGACTGACATGGCCATGACATGATGACATGACCATGACTGACATGACTGATGATGTCATCCTTCCGACCCCGCTTGATCCAGTCCTGGTTACATCTGGTCTGTGTTTGTCTAACGTTATATGAGCTGACTCTTAAGGCGCTTCAGACTTGATCCCGTTTTACTTGACCCAGTTTCTTAACCCCGTTTGACCTGACCCAGTATGATGTGACCCATTCCATGCCGTTTAAACCGAGTCATGTTTGTCTGACCTGATGCGTCAGACCCCGTTTGGCCTGATGCTTTTCGACCTGACTCTGATTGATACGAGTCCGTGTCGCCCGACCCTGAATGACCTGGCCCCATCTCGCTTGACCGCGTATGACCTGACCCCGTATAACTCGACCCTAAACCTCTGACCCTGAATGACCTGAACCCGTCTTTCCTGACCCTGCCTCGCCTGCCCCCTCCTCTGACCCCGTGTTCCCCGGCCCCGTCTCCCCTGACCTTGCCTCCTCTGACCTCGCCTCCCCTGACTCCGTCCCCTGATCCCGTATAACCTGACCTCGTCCCTTGACCCCGTTTGACCTGACCCTTTCCCTGACCCCGTATGACTTGACCCCACTCTCCCTGACCCCGTTTGACCTGCCCGTGCCACTCTAACTCCGTTTGCCCTGACCCTTCCCCTCGACCTCGTATGACCTGACCCTGCTTCCCTGGACCCCGTATGATCTGACCCCGTCTCGCCTGACCCCGTATAACCTGACCCCATATGATGCGACCCCGTTTGTCCTGCAGCCGGAGCGCGGTGAGAGGGGCGGCACCAGCCCTGCGGCGGTCCAGGACGGCCCGCTGCGGTCGCTCTTCATGCTGAAGGCCGAGACAGACATCCAGCTTGCCCACCGGTAGAGGGCACTGCGGCCGCTCGCGGGCAGGTGCCGACGTCGGATGATCTAGACCATAAGAAAATGGCGCGCTGGCGGTGGCGCCGACTGGCCGCCATTAAGGTTTTAGATATAGACTTTGGTGCTACGTATCCTGTTACCTCGTGGCGATAGAAAGTCGCATGTTTTACGTGCGACCTTTGATCTATGTTCCGTTGTTATTTGTGCTGGTAGAATACTTATGGCAGGCTTTGCATTGGCCAGCGGTGGCCGGTGTATGTATTATCTTGTTATAATATGGCAAATGATGTTCGATTCAAACAGGCGTTTTCTGTCTATTGATGATATCTAGGTTTGCCATGTAGTTGTAAACAAGCTGTCTAGCGTCAATTTTTCGTACTGATTGGTTACAGATTCTTTAAATTCAGCACGGCACCTGACATCAGTGAGCACCCCGAAAATCGATGTTGTCTAAAAATTATACCGATGTACCAGTGGCGGACTTGCCAACAACAGCACAGCTTCGGACACAGCTCTGCTCGTCCCGATAGCCGGACATTTTCCTATTTCCAGCCTTAAAAGCTAATTGCTGCTTTCCTTCCAGCAGGCGCTAGTCACCCACACCACCAGTGTGGATGACTAACAGAAGGGCAGACACATGTGGCCTATGTAATGTAATGACACGTGTGTCTACCTTTTCCTATCCCTAGCCAGTCGCTTGTTTGCGAGTACGCTCTGCACACATCAGTGTAAATAACGTAATGAAGCGGGGTCTCTAATGTTCATGCGATCGCTGCCTTCTGAGACACATTGACAGGCGTAATATGGTGATGAGGGAACGGTCACGTAACGGGGCTGGGTTACCACTGTACATTTCATTGGCTAAGGTGTCAGTTCCTGTTCGATAGAGATCATCCGTGCACGGCTTCAGTGCCGCCGCGACAGGCTAGTCAGACGAGATCATTCTCGCTGGTCTGGACGTATCGCCTAATAGCGTTTTCATCTATCGGTCTGTCATCATCAGTCACCACGGCATGGCAACGCCAAGAGAGGAGGGTCGGGGGTTAAGTCTCGACTCACCTCAACTCAGCTCTTCACACAGAACTGACGGGATTATGTTGAGCTTTCATGGAGGCTTGGGGCCTTCGCACCCCTGCTCCTTTCCTCGACCTGAACTTGTCACCAATCAGCTACACGCCATTGCTCCCGGGACATTTACCGACAGAAGTGGGATTAGCGATTACAGCTGGTGATAGTCACCTGACTGCCTAACGCCTCAGAGATCGCACATCGCTGCTGCGCACCGACGACCCCCTCCCAGGATGACCAATTCAGCAGCGCACAGTGGACACCTCTTGCCCTTCCACATCGACACCGAAGACTCGCCAGCTGACGATGAATCCGCCGGGGAGCGCACCGCCGGCCACCGGGGAGCCTCCCCGCCCCCTCACGTCTCCGTCTCGGTGCGGCCACCGATCGGGAACGAGCTCGTGGGTCGCGCCGGTCACCATATCCCTGATTACCATTCGTTCAATTTGCGCACGCCCCGGTGCCGCGGAGTCGGCTCGCGGCGCGCCGGCGGGAAATTAGTACTTGTCAGACGGCGCGGGGGGCGCCGTCCCGCGGGAGCCAGGGAAAACAGCAACGGTAAAACACGGCCAGGAAACGCGCGCTTGCCAGCGGTGATGGCTATTTGACCGGGTGTAATTAGATGAGGTGTTCATGTGTGTGTGTGTGTGTGTGTGTGTGTGTGTGTGTGTGTGTGTGTGTGTGCCTATCGACCGGATGGTGGGCGACCGAAAGCGCGCGCCCGCGGGCGGGCGCGCGCGCCGCCGCTCTCAGTGTTTGGTCACTCACCGAGAACGGGTGCCATTCAGCGGTCGACAGGCGGCGCGTAGGCGGCTTTGTTTCTAGCAATACACGTGTCGTGCCTCGCTGAAACTTTTGCACAGGATGACGGCCCTTTCATGTCGCTGGCATTTGAAATGCATGTAAAAGCGACGGCTGAGACGAAATGCAGTGGGGTTAAAACAGGCGCGTTCGCCAGAGATAGCGAATGTTGAATGTTTACTAGGTGAACTCCGAGTGAATACAGCATATACACGGCTTGCGAGTGGATGGAGGCGCTACCAACGTGCGTTTGCATAAGTCTGCGTGTATCAAAACGCAAGGCAAGCCAAGCCAAAGGTGCCCCAGAACCAAGCCGAATGCCTCAAAGTCGGTCGCGTGGGCTTCAGCCGGGTGGGGGTGAGGGGGGGGGAAGGGAGAAATATTCCCCCTCGAAGCTTGCGTGCACCCTGACTGAGCAATGATGGTGTTTTTCGATAGTTTGATTGCCCAAACTATCAGCTGGCTGCACCCCTCCCCCCAGGTTTCCGGTTGTCCCAGGTCTAAAATCTTGCCTAGGCCAAGGCCAGACGACAGGCCGAGCGCACCCCAGCACGCGGGACACCATGCCGGGAGTGTTGGGCAGACATTTTGGGGTTTCCTTCCCACACCCGAAGCCACCTTAGTTTTCTTTTATGTTACCAAATGTGTTCCTCGCATGACCTTTTGTCCATGATGTACATTTCCGGCCATACTCGACCCACGACTGCACCGCGTTTTCAGGGCGGTCGGTTTGGTGTATCGGGTGATTCATAACCGCCGAATGTGCACTCTGCAATCAGCCGCTTACATCAATGTATCGGACGACGTCTGTCGCATTCGTTTGCTTAATGTGCGCCACTTTAACCTGGCCGAAATACGCTGCACGAGGCGACCTAATGACCTCCACATTAGGCCACTCGCCTTTCGGAAACTTGAATCGCACTTGAACGCGTCGTGCATTGCCGATGATTAACCGGCATGTGGTACACGGAGTGGTCCTGAAAATCCAATAGTATTCGGTTTGAACAAGGCTCAAATAGCGCAACTCAAGAAGCAATTACGTTCTGCGAAGCTCCAAGTGGCGCACGGTCTTATGGTGGCACTGAATGTCACTGGCAGCGCGCTGCTCGACAAACAGTGGGTTAGTACAGGGCCCATTCAGCCGTCCATTCGGCAGCCGTGGTGAAGGACGACTTCCTATCGTCATTCACGCACGATGACCTGAGAACGGACTGAACGGCAGCCACTGCAGGCAGTACTGCGCACATCAAGCCCACAGCCTGCTTCACCTCTTCATCCCACCGTCTGCCACCCTCCACAGCACGCCACACCACGTGACGCTTCCTGCCAGCGTTCCACTCCAGCGACGGGCTCGCGCCCTGCACTGTCCACAGCGCAGCCCCCTGCGGACCCGGCTGGGTGCACAGCGGGCACCGCACCCCACAGCGCAGCCCCCTGTGGACCGGGCCGGGCGCACAGCGGGCACCGCATCCCACCGCGCCGGCACCCGGCGGCGGCGGCGGGCCCGGCGGCGGCGCCCCTGCCGCCCGCCGTCCCGCGCGCCGCGCCGCCGGCCAACCGCGACACCGCGCCGCGCCGCCACGTGCCCGCCGGCACGTGCCGTCACAGATTGACCACGTGCACGTGCAATAAGCGCGGTGACGCGGTCGTTTCGTGTTACATTTACGCGAATTGATTTTGCTGCACTGCGTCCGCGGCGCAGTGGACACGTGCTGTGATTGTAACTGAAAGAGTGCGCGCCGGCACGCCGTTTTATTTGGCCACGCGTCGCGGACTGTGTCGAATTTTGGGCACTTCGACCCAGTCATATTGGCATCATACATCATCGGCGCATTGTCGCGCAGGGGACAAAACGATCGTGCCGGACAGGTACCGCCCCCAGAAAAAACAGCGGTAAAACGTCACAGAGCATAGTTGTGCTCCGGATAAAGCTGCGAATTTTTAGTGTCGCTCGAGCATAGGACGCTGTGGGCACTGTGAACCACCATCGCCTGCTGCGTGGCAATAATTCACTTCGCATAACACGCTTACTGATTACGCTCATCCTTGATCTGATCCTTGAACGCATTTGTTTTTCTTTTATAGGCATCAAGGCGACCTTTGTAAAAATATTTTTAGGTGTCTCGTGACAAGAAGAAATTCATCTTGAAAGCCGATATAAAATAGAGAAATTTCGCTCTTCTGAGAGTTTGAGCAAAAGTAAGGTGATCTGAATTGGAGGGGGGGGGGGCTGTTGGCTCAGTAATTTGTTTTGTTCACGTCGTCATGTCAGGGTAGCGCCATGCCCCTCAGCGCAACCCTGGAACATCGAAGACATGAATGGTGCGCGAGCTTTGCTTCCTAGCAGCTAACTACCGCCTGCTGTTTACTTCCGCACAACCTCCTTGTCAGCTACCATCGCAAAAAGCACGCTGTCGGGGTGCGCGAAATATCCGTTGATTTGCGGGATCTAGCGGTTGATATCTCGAACTTCTTTTTTGCGACATCAACAACTCCACGGTATGGAAGAGATGAAAAGTGTGGAAGAGATAAACTGTGACGCACTGCTATGCTAAGCCACGTGGATTCGTGTACCTGCTGTATAAAAGTCTCTGGTTGTTCGATGTACCTCATTGGCACTCCTCACTGGTCAGTGGTAGTGATAGACAGACCCATATGTGCTGTTTTCTTTTATTTCTTTGATACAGGTACCGAGCCGGTCGCCACGGCTTCGCAGTAACATCCTGAGAACACGTACTAAGCTGACAGCAACGCCGTAACATCCTGACATTTGTGTCTGCTTGTTTGCAAGGTGTTCTTTCACAGGTTTGCCTGATGAATGAGTCAGTTATGATTCATCCTACAGCGTTTCCCAAACCTACCCCTAAGTGCAACTCAAGCTTAAATTAGCACTCGGTTTTAAACCACGCACAAGCAGAGATAGTGCTCGCCACGGAGGCTCGTTGTCTCTGATGGTGGGCCTCAGACAACATGTCACACATCTTGCGATAATGTGGCAGCAACTATCATCATCATCATCATCTCATCAGCATCATCAGTTAACTACATGAACAGATACTTTACGAAATCCCGACAGAGCGTTTCTCTCAGGGCTACTCACACGATCACGAGTAGGTACCCAATGCTGCTTTGGTGTTCGAAAATGCATTGACTGCGACCCCGCAGCAGGTGGCTGCTGTTGCAGGGAATCGCAATGTCACAGCTGCCGCGTTGGAGATGGAGTATCCTCTTAGAAGCTTGCCATTTTGCATATCGTTTCGAAGGAATTGCCTTCTGCATATAAATGTCCACGAGATCTGATTTTTTTGTTTTGTTTGGTAGCATGCTGAGATCTTTTTGAGCATATACCATTCCGGAAACATTTTGGATAAGTACGTGATGTTTAAAGGGAATGTTCCGCATTTAAAGACATAGAAGCAAACATCAGCAAGCGTTGCAAGCAAAACAAGCGTGTAGAAATATATATCTGTTCTTAGTACGGGTATTCAGCTAATGGACAATAACGCACGCTGACAAGTTTCTGTCTATCCCTGTACTCGGGAACGGCCATTTCTGGCCGAGTCGGACGAGGCATTTCTACCAGCCGCCCGTGTTTCGGGCAGCCCATAGGACAGCATAGTGCATAGTGTATTGATACGTAGGAGCCTGATTAACCGGGATGTTCGTGATGTTTTTGCAAGATTCGTGATGTCAGCTATTCGTAAGCAATTTCTGGCCTCATGCTCTGTGTGGGTCATCGTAACTTTTTTCAGTTTAGCCGCTAATTTCGTGCGTCCTTAGCGTAATGCCTTGTGTCGTGCATGGTATAGTAGCTAGATGGATTTATTATCATTATTATGTAGTTTTAATCGCAGTGCTTGCACAAATTCGGAGCATTTTTCCATGCACGTGTCTTGGTTTTTACATGTTGGCCTGTGTCATATTATGTAATTTTGGCCTGAATTTGATGGTACATTGCCTTTTTCAATTTAACTATATCACGACATCAGCAGTGATAACCAACAACATAACATGATCAGCAATACTCAACAATACTCAACTGCGTCCTACAATACTCAACAATAGCTACTTAATTATGCTCAGCAACTCATAATGAACAATTCACCTCGACCAATGCTTGTATGGGCTTGAGGCTGAGAGCAAGCGGCTGTAATTAGATGCATAAAGGTACGCCATAAAACAACAGCGAGTTTTTGTAACTGTGGTGTAGAAAACGCATGTGCTATTCATAGGACCGCCCAATGCATGTGGTTCTTACCTAATTGTTGTACGCCTGGGGTACGCGTAAGCTTTTGTTTAATGGATGTGCGTCATATTATATAAGCCATGTTAATTTCATGTGTTTTGGTCGTTCACCAGCATAACAAAGTGATCCATCACCGGCCTACGAATTCAGCTTGACTTGAATGTGCAAGATTGTGCATTACTTGATGGTATCGTTTTCTGTTGCACGCGGCGATACACCTCTCCCTTGCAGCCCAAAAGTTTGACTTATTCTCAGATCGCTGAGCTCCCTAAATTGGTAAAAGAACGTGGCTTAATATTTTAGCACATTGACCAAGGGATTCTAGACGAATTTCGAACATTCTCGTAATGTCGCCCCGAAATGCGTAAGGGATGCAGACACAATACTAATGTTCTAATTAATGACGTTATGCATTTACCCGAGTTCTACTTGCCGTGGCTAAGTTCGAGTCTACAGACGATATCTTCCGGCGAGCAGATAAGTGAAGGGACAGTTAACAGACATCCCTTTCCAACGAAGCTGTCGGTCGTCATGCGCAAGATGCTCGTAAAGAGAACTTGTATTGCCGTACTGGCAAGCCAATCGTCGCGGCGGAAGCCCCCCTTTGGTTGGGCGCTGACGTCACGCTGCCCATATCCGTAATGTGGCGAAATGCGTGGTGCTGGGGTCGCCTTTCAGAAAAAGTGTTCGTGTATGGGTCATCAAAGAAGGCCATTTTTCCGTTGGTTTCATGGTGTCAGCCTGGTTACAGGGCGGCCGACAGTCGTGTGGTTACATGGCACGGTAAGGTCCTTTTGCGCTTTTTGAATGAGGAGCCGTGACAAAATAAATGTGTTGAGCATTCATTGCAACAATGAGATGATGAGTTCGAGTAAATTAACAGAAAATTAAAGCCAGCACGGAATCGGCTTAAACGTCTGTGCCAGCAAAGTTTTTGCTTTCTGGATTTTTCTTAATTTGCAGCTGACCGGAATCTATGATATGAACAAACTATGGCAGGCCAAAAACCAAATTATGTTACCCGATTTTGTTTTCTTATGAGGCCTTACAACAAAACAACTCAGGTCTCAACTTGAAGTAAAACAACATTAGGTTCATAGCCCTCCTGGGTAGAAGACCAAATGTCGCTTGGCATCAAAGAGCCTCCAGAAGACCGGTGATCGGCGTCAATATCATGTCTGGGCTGCGAGGAAAAATGTCCCCAGGCTTACGCCTCAAAGACAGACAAAAAACCAAGGTCAAATATAGAATGGCTTTTCCCAATGCCTCCATACATTCGAGGAAATAAGCTTGAGATTGAGGAGTCAGGTCGCGCTGCTGCATCCTCCATGGCAACGTCACCGCGAGGAAGGATGAAAGGCACGTCTTTGTGTGGCGGCCAACTTTTTAAAGACTTTGTATTTTCCAGCCAAAAACATGGGGGGGGGGGTGGGTCAAGCCAACATGGGGGCAACTCAACAGGGGGGAGGGGCACAAAAGAATGCAAATCGATGCCCATGTCGACTAGTCAGTTGCTTTGTGAATATTCTACTCTACCCACATGCGCAAAACTAACTGCAAACGCCAAAAACGTTGCATGTCTTTACTTCAGTTGCTTAGTGCATTTGCGAGGAACATTATAAGACGGTACTAACAGCCTTTTTCCGCGGGGAAAACCAAGAGAATGGAAATATAGATTGGTTGATCTTTCGGCAACATGCCTTTATCGAAACGATAGCAGAAGTCATTGTTTCTGCTATTGTTTCAATCACGGCATGTTGCCGACATACTAGCCAATCTATGTCGCCATTCTTCCAGTTTTTCTCCGCGGAATAAGGCTATGAGTACTGTCTTATCTATGCTGCATGTCTTTGTATGATATCAGCTGTTGGGTCAACACTGCGGTATACCATGCCTATTGCTGTATTCTTTTTTAGAGATTTAGGTTCATTTCGATTGCATGAATTTGTGAGATCAGCATCCACACTTATGGGGATTTGTTGCGTGAGCTCCGGGCCCACCGATCGTCATATTCCGTGTCAACGGCGAACAATTTTTTGGAGAAAAACGTAACGTGCTGCAATGCTTACCATCCCCACAGTCTGTTTTGTCATCTGACGTCATACGACCTTAAGTGAGGCTGCTTCTAACAGGTGCATCCCATTCCAGCCAGGCGAAAGTAGCGCGCGTCTAAAGCGACTCGAACCCTCCTCGCCGCGGGGCCTTGAATCGGAAGGCCGACGTTGTAAGCAGTTAAGCAACCGGACCGACAAGTCCATTCGATTGAGCTGCGTATCACGTACGCGGTTACTGATAGGAGCGTAGCAGCACAGTTAAAGCCGCTGGATCCTAATCTGCTTCCATGCTTTTGCATACGAACGGAACATGAAGTAAGCCATTCTGCTTGAAAGTTGCTCAGGTCCAGACTCCGGAACCCACCTGATCTTGGTGACTACACACTGCTTGTCGATCCGTTTTTGAATTTTGTTTCCAAAGCGTCGGATGTGGATTCGGCGAGTGGATCTGTACGGGCCCCCACCCCTCCCCCCAGAGCTGTAGAAGGTCGCACAGCTCGTCAAGTTGACAAGGTCACACAACCCGCGAACCTGACGAGAGCTAAAATTGACGACGGGCCCTTTAGCGTGAAACCCTTGGAGAAACCAGAAAAGTGGCTTCCATATGGATAATTATTTGTGGTATGGAAGTACTTTTGCGTTACTTGACGCGTTTGTGTCAATTAAAAACCGGTCCGTACCACTGCGACCAATATCAGGGCCCTTGTAGTGAAAAGGTTCGAGGTTAGGTGGCGGGGGCTATACTTAAAAAGGTGTCTGCGATGTCTTCCAGCTCGTCTTCTTTGAAACCCGATTTTCCACGTTTTGTGCCCGCTTCCCAGTAACTCCGCTTCGAAGCTTCATTTGAGCGGCCTGTGAGCGGTGTTTGTCAGCAAAGTTGTCCACAACCGTGGCGTGCTGTGTTTCCATCCCGTTTTGTCCGTTTAGTTTTTGCCCTCTACACGGCCTTGTGCCCTGTAAAGTCGAGCAGTTTATTTAATTTACTTGCATTCATCCTCAATACCCATAGTTACCCACATAATGTTTCTTTATGCCACATGCAAATGTTTAAGAACAACACAGTAGAAATGCCCCATATTGGTGTATAACATACAGGGTCTAATTTGCAGGGGTTCCAGTTGAAAGTAATTTTGAGCTTGCTGTTTTTGCAATGCTGTCAAGTAGCATTAAGCAGGTAAGGTATATTCTCATTCATGGTGCTACTGTCTATATTACTTAGATTTTTATTGTTCCATTTTTTTGGAAGGATGCTACATGATACAGCATAGTGGCATGTGAGGATCAAAGAGATAAATGATTTGCCATGTACAAATGATGATATGTGACATAGGGGATTGACATGCAATTATTGGAGAGCCATATCAATTTAAAAAATATTGAAAGGGGAAAATCCTTTTTTTAGAAGGTGGTACCCATGACTGTCATCATACCCAGGAGCCAAAATTGGACATGTGAGTTCAGCTCACATGTGTCAGACCCAAGATATTGATGCCACACATTTGCAGCAGGCACCAGTGTAGCCAACCTAATCTACAAATTAATTTTAACAAAATTTTTGTAATGGCAGGCCTTTTCTTGACTAAACTTGACCTGGAAATTGACCTCAATTGGACCTGACTTATCACTAACTTGTGCTCATTGGGTGGCATGGTTTTGATATGTAAAAACAGCTTTGTGTAGTGTCAATCACAAAGCACTTTGGACATTTTTAGAGGTGCTAGTAAGTCACTCCAAGTTCACCTGGTGATCTCAAGTGTTTTGTTTTTTTCATATTGTTTCATATGTTATCATACCATGGATGTTCAACTTTTCCAGATGAAAACATTCAGGGCCATAGATGACCATATGTGTTTCTTTGATCAGGTGGCAATATCCTTAGATAACAGTGATAAGGTTACCTATTCCCTGGAGAGTCCCATGGCATGACTGGTGATGGTCAGTTGTGTGGGTTGGGGTAAATGTTTTAGGTGATGCCAGGCTCATCTTCAAGGGTCTGGTGCAAAATGCCAAGCTGTACCAATTCTGAGGCTGCCACTGTCCCCCCGCCTCCTGCCCCCTGCACTCGTGCTCATTGCTTTTAAGCTTTAAATGTGTACATGGACTCAACATCTCTGGATACATGCATTGGTGTTGCCAATGCAGCCAGTGCATTATGTGACACTGAAGCTGAAGTGCTGACTGCTCAGTTATTCTGTGCTAGTTCTGCTCTAGTTTGTAAGCCCTACCTTTCTTCTGTTCAATACTGTGTCTGGTTCCATGTATCTGTAACAACACATTTTTATGAAATCAAAGCCAAAGCCTCACTTTGATGATGCCAAAAAGGGTGCCGGCAGTGTAGTGGTTAACGTGTCTGTCTTGACCACTGCACGTCTGGGAAACCAGAGGTGCAGGGTTCGGTTCCCCGCGGCGCCCGCCCTTCTTGCCAGGGTGAGAGGCAGGTGGCGCCATGTAGCCTCAGCAGCTGAGTGTGTCTTAAAGCCCCAATAACGCATGCACGATGATGCCAAAAGTAATGTTTATTCTGTGGAGGAAGCACTAAGCAGAGTAGCAGTTTTGCTGCTCTAGATCCCAAGCAGTGATGTACTGTGCCCAGATCAGCCGACGGCTTCAGAGCGGTGAAGTCACTGCATCTGAGCTGGTAGAGAACTGCCTAGCGAGGGCTCACCAGACCAAGGATCTGAACGCGTTCGTCACGATCACTGCCGACCTGGCCAGAGAGCAAGCGCAACAGTCAGATGAACGGAGACGCCAAGGTGGGTCACCCGCTTGCCTCGAATACATCATCACTCGCAGCTAGCAGGGTAAAATACGAGATGCCGAAAGCTTGTACAACTGCTGTCTTCCCGCCTAGGGCAGTGACAGGTGTCAACAGATGTATCATGATCTGACCACGCCTCGTCGACGTTCGGTGACCCAGAGGCTGACCCGCGCCGCGTGACCCCGACCACGCAGGTCAACCGCTGGGGCCACTGGATGGCGTGCCGGTGTCGGTCAAGGACAACTTCTGCGTGCGCGGCGCGCCCACCACGTGCGGCTCGCGCATGCTGGCCGAGTTCCGGCCGCCATACACGGCCAGCGTGGTGCGACGCCTGCTGCGAGCGGGCGCCTGCCTCATCGGCAAAACCAACCTGGACGAGTTCGGCATGGGGTGAGCATCGGCCTGGAGAGGACGGGCAGTGGAGCGGCGGCCCGGAGAAGACGGGCGGCGAAGCGACGACCCAGGGAGGACGGGCAGCGAGGCGGAAAAAGTGTGACGTTTGTCGTTATGTTTTGGAAGAGGGTGGTTGGGTGAGGGCGTGAGCACACGCCTTCCTTTCTCACAAAGACGTGATTGCACGATTACTTATTTCTGTTTTAGTTTGTGTAACCTGGTTTCTACGCGTGCTGTGTTCTATGTATTACGTGGGTGGTTATCCAAATGTCCTCAGAATGACATCAACTCTAAAAGAGCAGCGTATTTTTCCAAGATATGGGCGAAGACGCAGCTGTTAAGGAATGTTTCGATTCCAAACATCACCTCCGTCAAAGACAGCGGAGCACCTGCGACCACGCGGCGCCCTGCGTTGGATGCTCCTTTTTTAAGTGCCAGCAAATACCGTGTCACGGGGGTAAATCACTTCAAACCCCAATAACGGCGTTGCGCTCCTTTCCCTCTGATGACTGACACTGTCGCGGTCTTGTTTCAGCGTGGGAACGGTAGACAGCTTCTTCGGACCCACGAAGAACGTCTGGGGATCAAACGTGAAGTACAAGCTACGCTATAAGTATGGGTGAGTGCCACTGCTGGTTGTCCTCTGATGACCCTGGGACGGATATTTACCGATTTCATCGGCAACCTACTTAAAATTTCCAACACGCTGTACCTGTCTTCATTCAACTCGAGAAAGAATAAAAGCAAACCGGTCTCAGTACATACTTGAATGCTGTATCAAAAGTTATAGCTATATGCTATAGTGAATGCTATCTACCTTGTAACTAATACCTTTCATGCGTATCTCTCCACCATTGAAACAGCTTTTCGCAGCCGTAATCGTGTTCGCTTATCCGCTTCGAACAAGGTTTTCGATCCCGTTGCAGGGAGCCTGCGACAGATCCTCCAGTGCCACCTAGGGACAGCGACGAAGACTTCTATATCCCTGGCGGGAGCTCAGGTGGCAGCGCCGTCTCTGTTGCATCGGGATCAAGCTTTGTGTAATGTATTGTCGGCCAGGTGAACCTTTCCTTTACAGTCCTTTAGCAGCAAGTTTGGCTTACAGCACGAAGTGCTTGTTTACAGCATACAACCCGGAGTTTGCGAAATTTTCTCCATGTGAGCATGTCCCTTGAAGACGTCCTTTGGTCTGAGTTCTGAGCCATTTATATTTCTGTTGTTTTCCTCTGCACCCTGGAACTAACCGAGGGGCTATCTCGCCGTTCCATCGGGCAGACAGTTCGGGCCGGGCCGAGCGGCCTGACTCCGGACTCTCGGATTCTGCCGTTAACTGGTGTGATATCCGACACTACCCTCTCAGCAGCGGCTTCACCGTCGACACCGATACGCATCCCGTCGCGTCCCGCTGTTCCCCGCCGTTCCCCGCCGCGTCCTGTCGTTCCCCGCCGCGCCCCGTCGCGTCCCGTCGCGTCCCGTCGCGTCCCGCCACGTCCCACCGCGTCCTGCCGCTTCTCGCCGCGTCCCGCCGCGTTCACCGCGTCCCACCGCGTCCCGCCGCGTCCCGTCGCGTCCCGTCGCGTCCCGTCGCGTCCCGTTGCGTCCCGCCACGTCCCACCGCGTCCTGCCCGCTTCTCACCGCGTCCCGCCGCTTCTCACCGCGTCCCGCCGCGTCCCGCCGCGTCCCGCCGCGTCCCGCCGCTTCCCGCCGCGTCCCGCCGCGTCCCGCCGCGTCCCGCCGCGTCCCGCCGCGTCCGCCGCGTTCCGTCCCGCCCCGTCGCGCCCTGACGCCGCCACTCCGCCGACAGCGCGCTAGGCTCGGACACTGGCGGTTCGGTACGAAACCCGGCGGCCAGCTGTGGCCTGGTGGGCCTGAAGCCCTCCTACGGCCTGCTGTCGCGCCACGGCCTGGTGCCGCTCGTACACTCGATGGACGCGCCGGGCCTGCTCGCCCGCACCGTGGCAGACGCGGCGCTCGTCTTCGGTGAGTGGTCGGTCGGCCGGCCGGGCTGGGCTAGCTGGGGCGCCGAAACGCGCCGGTACACGGCGGGGACGTGGGGCACCTGGCGGCGGTGCGTTCGGGGACATGTTGCAGACGTTCTTTCATGTTCTTGGTGTGCTCAGCCTACTGAGGTTTACTGATTTTTGTGACTGTTGCTTTGTGTTTATGAATGTTGCTATGGTTGCTCGACTGGTGTCTGGTTTTCAAGATACATAATATCTATGGATAAGTCGTTAAAAAGTTGGCTATCTGCTCCAGATACCCATATTGCGTTCTGGCACCCGGCTGCCTAGTGTTGATCGCCCGTGCACCCGTTCTCAAACACGTCGACATTCACCTCACGCCTCGTCGGAGAGCGTGACGCCAATCTCCTCTCCTTATCGTTCGCAATGCCGCCGATGTTTAGGAGCGACGACATCGTTCCATCCCGTTGACACCGTCAGCTATGTCTGGGAACGTCCCATCTCCAAAGATCTCTTTGTCGGCTCGGCATGCCCACTGTCCACCCATCCTCAGCCCCTCTCGTCCTCACGTCTCGCCCCCGCCGCAGACCTGCTGTCGGCGCCGGACGCGCTCGACTCGACGTGCGTGGCGGAGGCGCGGACGCCGGTGGCGCTTGCGGAGCGGTGCTCGGCGCGCGGCCTGGTGGTGGGCGTGCCGCGCGAGTACCACTGCCCCGGCGTCGACAGCCAGGTGCTCGACGCGTGGGAGGCGGCGGCGGCTGAGCTGGCGGCTGGCGGCGCCACCGTCCGACAGGTCAGTCACCCCTCACACAGTCACTGAGCGCGGGGGGGGGGGCGGCTGGCGACGCCACCGTCCGGCAGGCCAGTCACCCCTCACACAGTCACTGAACGCGGGGGGGGGGTCGCTCCAGCCTCCAGGTCAGCGCTGCGGGTCGGGGTCGGGGGCGGCGGACCGACGGCGGTGGCAGCAGGCTAGCCGGGCTGTCAACCCTGCCTGACTGTTAGTCGTTTGCTCTGCGCTGGCTGGCGCTATCACCCTCACTGGCCTTCTGGGTATCCGGTCTGCCTGGAAGCCCTCGCCTTGCAAGTGGCTGTGGGAAAAGTTTTTATTGGGCTTCTGGGAAGGCGGGTTAATTGTTTTGGAGGAACCCCAGCGTGAAAAGTGAAAGAAGTTGTAAAAATGGCTGAGACCCGCCAACATTTAGCTCGCACATCCGACATTTTACACCACAGGCCACACAGTTCACCTGAAACCACTCAGCAGATTTCATACTGATATTATGTAACAATTTCTGGCAACAGGATTACTGAAAATCCTAGGAATGATGTTTGAGCGCATCACGATATCAAATGGCAAGCACAAGTCGTTCGTAGAACGACACAGACTTTCCGTGCGCTTTCAGCGAGTCAGCTCCGTCACTCAGCGAAGCAAGCCCGCAAGCTCTTGTAAAACACTTAGAGAGGAATATGTCGCGATAGTGCAGTGGTGTCCTCTCAACAGTCATACCGCTGTTTGTGGTTGGCTAGGCGGAATGGTGATGCACGCGGAGCTCCAGATTCACGCGAGGAGCTTGACGGCAGATCGTACTTGCCACTACTGGGGCCTGGCCCGTAGAAGGGGTCACTCAGTATCGTTAGCAGTGTCTGAACATCACGGCGCTTCAGTCCGCCAGCCGTCCGGTTTCAGCAGGCGCGTGCCGAACGCCGGAAAGGGAAGCACGAAGGGGAGCAGTTAGCATCCTGTTCTGTAATGACACTTCAGATGAGCGGGGAACTGCACTTCTGCGCTTTGTCACATCTTGGAATTGAGGTTTATCTGCGCTCAGCCCCTGCCACTACCAATAATTTTTTGCTGCCTGTTTGCACAAAATAACTAGTTGTGTAAACGTAAGGTGGACCATCCCCAGTACTGCTGTCTGGGCAGAAATGAAGTGTTGCTATCCAAATGCTGTGCTTACGCGCATGAAAGACCACCGCAGCGACTCATCGCAGGGTGAAAACAGGTGACGTCTTCTGGGCGTTGGATCATTGGCACACATCACAACGTGAAGACCAGACCCCTGCGCCATTGGATGGCGGTGCTGCTTCAGTCCGGGTACATTGCCTCTCCGTGGAGGTGAAAGGAAGACCTGGTGCTCAGCAGTGGTTTGACAGCACGTGCATCCCCTTACCCGCGTTGCTGCGGCCTGTGCCGCTCACAGCGCGATGGTATATGTGTTTAAACAGACATGGCTGGATATTTTTACAACGATTACAGCGCCCAGATAACCCTTCGACAAAAACGTTCTCTGAGATCGTCGGTTTTGCGAGATCCTTAAAAAGCCCCCGCATTGGTGCCTGGCCGTCCCCGGCGGCGGAGGGCCACCGCCTGCGCCGCCGCCGTCGCTCAGCAGTAGATGACGGTGCAGGCGTCCTGGTAGGAGGGTGGCGGCGCCTCGGCGGCGGGCGGCGACGACGGGTAGGGCGGCGGCGGATCGGCGGCGTCACTCGCCGGTGGGGGAGCGGCCGTCGGCCGCCGCTCGGTGTCCCTGCGGCCGGGGCGGATCGTTAGTGCTGAGGCTTACGGCCGCGGGGTGAACACAAACGCCGACGGTCAGTCACGTGCGCTGACGGTCAGTCACGTGCGCTGACGGTCAGTCACGTGCGCTGACGGTCAGTCACATGCGCTGACGGTCAGTCACATGCGCTGACGGTCAGTCACACGCGCTGACGGTCAGTCACATGCGCTGACGGTCAGTCACATGCGCTGACGGTCAGACACACGCGCGGACGGTCAGTCACATGCACTGACGGTCAGTCACGCGCGCTGACGGTCAGTCACATGCGCTGACGGTCAGTCACGCGCGCTGACGGTCAGTCACGCGCGCTGACGGTCAGTCACATGCGCTGACGGTCAGTCACGCGCGCTGACGCCGACGTGAGCATGCGTTCAGATTCAACCAGGCGAACAGCCGGTAGGTTTGCGGGCACTGGGTGAATCAGTACCATGTTACCGAGCCGTGGTCACGTGGATAGCTTCGTGCACGGTTGCTTTTCGCGGCCCTAGAGGTAAGCGCGCAAAGATTTGGTTGGCAGTGCCATCGAGAATGCCTATTATTTTTAAAGACATTCCTCCGTTTCTCCGAAAGTTCAGGGCCAAAATGCTTTTTCTCTTTTCCGCTCCATTCTGATCCTCGTGCACCCCACATTGCGTGCTCACTTGAACACGTGACCGCACGGGTTGCCCGCCGCCGTCAGCACCGCGTGTCAAGCGCCCGTTCGCGCCATCCCCGCCCCGCTTCGGGCGCCGTATCCCACCCACCTGTCAGGCAGGCGCACGATCTGGCGGTCGAGACGCGCCACAGCCGGCGGCGCGCGCGCGGGCTCCGCCACCGGCGACCACGACCGCGAGCGTGCGTCGGCGCCGGGCGCGGCGGCGCGCCTGCGTACGACCAGGCAGAGCCCGAGCAGGAACAGGAGCAGGGTCGCCAGGATGGCGCCGGCCACCAGCGCCAGCAGCAGAGTGTCGTCGCGAGGCGGGGGAGGAGCCAGGTCCGGCGGCCAGTCGATCGTTGTCTTCGTCAGCTCCGCGCGCAGCGAGTTGAGGAGACGCAGCCGGCGCAGCTGGCTGGGCGGCGTCGGGCTCGGCACCACCTGGCCGCAGTAGCGGCCGTGCACGGAGCACAGACAGCGCAGGTAGTCGGCCAGCGCCTCCTCGCGCGGCGAGCGGTGCAGCTGCGGCGCGCACCGCTCCGACTCGAACGACTCGGCGGCCATGCCGCCCGCAGGCCGTCCCGGTGCGCCCTGCCACTCGCCTGACTCTCTGCTCTCCCGCTCGGTTCCGGTTTATGTCTCGCGTTTCCTGCGCTCACGCTCTTAAACCACGTCCGTGGGACATGGCGGGCGTCGCACGCTTCTTGTTGGCGGTGGCCGCCCGCGCCCGCTCACTTCACTTCACCTCACTCGGCTGCGGTGCGCGTCGTCACAGCTGTCGCCCCGGCCGGCGGCGCCGGCGTCCGCGTGCGGGGGCCGCTCAGGCTCACGGTCATGGCCGGGTTCTTGCGTCGCGCCGACCGCCGCCGGGCAGGAGATGCGCCGCTCCGAGGCGGCCGCGCAGATCGATACACCGGCCGACGCTGGGTCAGGAGAGGGTCTGGGGGACGGGGGGGGGGGGAGACATCAGCCGGCACTGGGTCAGGAGAGAGGCTGGGAAAGACACCGGCCGGCGCTGGGTCAGGAGAGGCGCCGGTAGAGACACCGGCCGGCGCTGGGTCAGGAGTGGGGTTGGGGGAGGGGGAGACACCAGCCGGCGCTGGGTCAGGAGAGGGGCTGGGGGAGACACTGGCTGACACTGGGTCAGGAGAGACGTCGGCCAGGGGCTTGGTCCGGGAGTAAGGCACCTGCCTCGGGTTTGATGGCGCATGTGATACACGACCAGACCGCTGCCAACTTATCACTGGCAGCTGGTGGAAACGTAGCGAGGTCTGTACGTTGGAGGAATGCTTGGTTATTCGGTAGCAGACAAAAAAACAGCTACCCATAAAAATATCATTTTGGAGGCCGCATGCTCGTAACGCACCCGTGGCAGAGCGGCTTAACCAAGCCACCGTGCCTTGACCGTGCCTACTCTGAGGGTGGCGAGTGTTTTCGTAGGCCTCTGTATCACTACCTTAATACTCGTATTCCAGCACGGCACCAGGCCTCTTTTCACGCCGTGCGAGCGCACCTGATATGTCAATGGTCGGGCTCATGCTCTCCCAGTCACGGGGCCTCTCAATGTACGTTGTCATTTCTGTCATGGCGGTGCTCTTACGACCTTGTGCTCCGTTGCTGCCATTTGCCCCCCCCCCCCCCCCACGTTCGCGCTGCTCCGTTCGGTTGCACGCCATCAGCGCCCTGCCGGCCGGCACGTGATGATGCTCCGCATGGCCCGGAGTGGTGCTGTCCCTCGCCTCCCGGCCAGCCGTCCCGCGGGCGCCGTCTTCTGCCCGGGGCCGCTGCTGACCCACCGGGAAAGAGGGCGTGCCCCGCTCGCTATGGCGTCGACCCCGTTTCGTCCGGCCTCAAACGGCCAGCCAGCCCGGCTCTTTTCTTCTCTCCTGGCATCTCGTCTCTCCTCTCTCTCGTCGCTGGGACGCCGCCGTGTCCCGCGACGTGGCGTAACCGTACTGATCCCGTGTCGTCTTCTCCTCCGGTGAACTCCCATCAATGGTGCCGCTCCTGCGTCCCCATGACCCGAGGACGCCACCGCTCCTCCCGCCTCGCCCACCTGTCGGCGCCGCCTGACCTGACCTGGCGTGACCCGGCTTCCAGGTGAGCCTGCCGCACACACAGCATTCGATCGCGTGCTACAGCGTGCTCAATGCGGCGGAGGTGGCCAGCAACATGGCCCGCTACGACGGCGTCGAGTTCGGCTTCCGCTCGACCGAGCACGCCTCCACCGAAGCGATGTACGCCGACGGCCGGCGCCGCGCCCTCAACGAGGTCGTGCGCGGCCGCGTGCTGGCCGGCAACTACTTCCTTCTGCGGAGGTGAGCGGGACGGGGCAGGGTTGACCGAGCGCTGAGCTGGGCGGGCGGGGCTGACCCGGGTAGGCGGGGCTGACAAGCGCTGAGCCGGGTAGGGCAGGGCTGACCGAGCGCTGAGCCGGGTAGGGCAGGGCTGACCGAGCGCTGAGCTGGGCGGGGCGGGGCTGACCGAGCGCTGAGCCGGGTAGGGCAGGCCGCATCGATCAGTCTTGTACGCCGGACTTAGGACCTAGGACCTAGGACGTGCGCGCTCTGTCGCGGTACGGGTTGTGTTCGCCGGAAAGGCAGAATCTGCGTATTACCGTGCCGTTTCCTTTCACGTCCTCGAGAGTGTTCGTATGGCAAGAATGGCCCCTGTCCCGGGGATGCAGATGAGGCTGTGAAGAGTGCGAATCCCGCCGTTGACATCAGTGGCGCGCGGGCGCGTGGCTTGCTGAGAGTGCGGAGCCAACGTTGGCGGGTGTCCTTGCACAGTCTGGTGGTCAGTCGGAGGGATCTTGTGGCTTCCTGCCCAGCCGTGTCCTATGTCGTCCGATGCTGCATCGTCCCGGCCAGCCCGACCTCCTCATAGCGCCCTCGCCTCGGCAGACACTACGACGACTACATGGTGCAGGCGATGCGCGTGCGGCGTCTGATCCAGCGCGACTTCGAGCTGGCATGGCGGGCCGGCTGCCACCTGCTGCTCACGCCGGTCACGCTCACCGACGGCCATCTACACTCGGAGTTTGTGCAGCGCGACAGCCGCACCAACACGGCCGCGCTCGACTACTGCACGCAGCCGGCCAACATGGCCGGTGAGAGGCGCGCCGCGCAGGCCGCTGGCGGGCGGGGGGCGACGGCTCAGGTGTCAGGGCGCGGTGACTGGTCGGTCGCTGCGGGCAGAGGTGGCGTTGGCGCTGCGGGTGGAAGTGGTGTGGCGCTGCGGGCGGCAGAGCGCCCGGTGTGGAGGCCGCTCTGGCGGCTGGAGGGGCGGCGGGCGGTGTCCGGCGGCGGGGCGCGTGCTCACCGCTCGATTCAGTCCAGGAGCGCGTCGCTCCACTGCGCCGTCCACTCGCGGCTCTGCTAGCGTGGCCAGGTCCTCCCAGAAAGGCAGCGATGGTGTTCGTCGGCCTCCATTATTATTCAGTTTGTAGCCGTGCTTCACATGACAGCAACGGCGCCTCAATGCCACATGAGTAATACCCGTCACCCCTGCCATGTCGCCTCTAACGGCACGTCATCAGCTGCTGGTCTGCCGGCGGGATCTTCAGCAGTTGGCCGCGCCTGGTGCCGGCCGGCCATCGTCGCCCTCGTCAGCCGTCGCCGCGCTTGTGTCCGATGCCATCGGTCGCCACAGGCCATGCCGCCAGCGGGCGGGTCGGCTCGCGCCGCGCGCTTGACGCCGCCCGCCGCCGTCCTTCTCGTCAGCGGCCGATTTCGTGTCGGACGCCACGGGCTTCCACACGCCGTGCTGCCACTTGATGGGCTTGGCGGCGTGGCGCGCGCCTGACGCCGCCTGACGCTGCCCGCAGGCGTGCCCGCCGTCAGCCTGCCCGTGCGCCTGTCGTCGCGCGGCCTGCCGATCAGCCTGCAGCTGATGGCGCCGCCGCTGGGCGAGCGGCGCCTGCTGGCGGCGGCCCGCTGGCTGGAGCGGCGCCTGGCCTTCCCACGACTGGAGCTGGTCTGACGCAGGGAGCGGCGCCGGCGCCGCGCGCGCCTCCAGCCGGTGCGGGTCTGCTCCAGACTGTGGACGGCACCAGCGGCGGCGTGAGAGCGCTGTCGGCTGTCGGCTGTCGGCTGGGACGGCAGGCGCCGCCAGCCCGGCCCGCCGTCTAGTGATACAGAGGCCGCCGACCCCGGCCCCATAGTCATGCTCGTGAACAGTGCTGGTTTTCTGATACATTTCTGCTTCAACCCGTCAGCTTTTATTTTCTACTTCTCTCGGAACTTTTAAGCAGAGCCTACGTGACAGCGAATTTGCCTCGTTTTCTTTGCCGGATGCCTTTTTCGAAGGACCTACGTTGGGATCGATTTCTCATCGAGCTAACCTGTTTTGCGATTTTGTTTAGGATGGGGTGCGGCGTCAGCAGTGGCGACTGGCACCCTGGCGTGGCATGGCTTATGTCGCCGACCTGGCGCGCCAGCGCGCGATGGTAATTACCACGGTTGGGTGGTGATGGTCAATAGGATGGGACGTCAGGCGAGCCATCTGAGGTGTCTTAGAAATTTACCAGAACGCTTACGGGAGTTGCCGGTGACCTCGGGTTGATATAGAACGGAGTTTAAGTAACAGCAAACAACACTAACTCCCAGCGGTCACAAACACGCGTGCGTTCGGGTAAACATCGCTTCGCTTTATTACATACCATCGTATATATATACACACCGATAACGGCAAACACGCACTAGTGGCGGCGGCCGTGGACAGCACGCGCGCGGGCCGACGCTGCAGCGCCGGGGCGCCGTGTGCGTCGCGCCGCGCCGCGCCGCTGAGAAACTGGAAGCCCGTGCGGCGAGCGCCGGTGGCGCCGCGCGGCGGCGGCCGGCGCAAGCTGCGGCCGGCCGCGCTCATCGCCGGGAGGTGGCGGCCGGCCTAAAGTATCACAGGATCGGAACGCGCTGGGACGGTAAGGGTTGCGAGACTGGTGCCAGGGGCGGCCGCCTACTGCGCCCAAGGCATGTGCTTGTACTGTGGCCAGTGCGGCTGAGGAGTGCGGCGCCGGCGGCCGTGACGCCCGGGGAGCGCAGCGGCGGACCGCTGAGGCGGTGAGGACCGGCCGGCGCCGCAGCTTCACGTCAGGTGCCCCGGGCACCCGGTCAGTGAAGCTGGCTGGCGCCGACACGAGGCGGACAGAGCGAGGTATCCGGAGGCGCTAATCAAGTCGCCGGTGTTGTGTCACGCCGTATCGTGCTATCGGACATGCCAACTCGTTTCATCTCCCCACGTTACGTAGAACGCCACATTTCGAGCACGACTGAACGCTTCGAGCCCGCGGAGACACCGTGCCCATGAGCTGCCCCATGGCGCCCGCTGTTCACCCGCCCCCCGCTGGTCACCTCGCCAGGTCCGTCGTGCTCATTCCTCTCGCCTATCAACATATCAACACCAACAGCGCGCCATGACTAGACTGCTGCCGCCTGGCTCGCTTTGATTGAGCGCTGAGTGCGGACACCGTCGCTAGATGTCACTGGGACGCCGCGCCGCGCCGTGCCGGCGCTGCCGCTAGATGTCAGTGCCGCGCCGCGCTATGTGCCGGCAGCGCCGCTAGGTGTCAGTGCCATACCAGCGCCAGCGCCCAGGCGGCCAGCACGGCGGCCGAGGTTTGCGGCTCGGCGCCGGCGCACATCAGGCTGTCGGCGTAGTACCGCACCGTCTTCGGCACCGGCTGGTCCGGCTTGCACCGCATCGTCTGGGGAGGCGCCGCAGCGTGAGCTGGGCTCGCCAGACGGCTGACGGGCCGCGGGCGAGCGAGCGGACGACCGACCGGCGATGATAACCGACTGTGGGTCAAGCTGGGTCTCGAGCGGGGCACAAACCACTGTAGTCATACAGGCAAGAAGGGATAACTGATCGTGAGTCGTGGTAACAGCACGGACACCAGGCATCCTGCGTCGTGCGCACGTGGTTTTTTTAACTGCGCAACGCTAGCAGAAATTAATCCCGCCAACTTATAAATCATGGCAAACACGAATACTCCAGACAGCGACAGGGACCAGACGGCGAGGCTTAAGGCCACCCCGGCTACATCCACCACATCAGGGCGGTCCAAACTGAGCGTTACACGGCGGCTGGGCGCCGGTCGTACCGGGCAGATGTCTGAACACTTGGGGCAGCGAATAGCGCCCACGTGCAGCCAAGAGTTGGCCATCAGGCTGATGTTGAGCTCCTGGCCGGCATGGAAGCACGTGTACGTGTGGTTGGTGACCGTCACGTGCACCCTGCCGGAGAGCGGGCGGTCAATTGTTGCGCGATAACCGCAGGCACATACGACCAGAGCTTGATGGAGAGTCACCACTTACAATGCACAAGCACGGGTACGATCCACCTCGGAGAAGAAACAAGGCATTTGCAAACCTAACGCGCGCCGTTTCTCCCGTCCGTTTTGCACGAATCTGGCAGTCAAGCGCCCCGTCTTCAGCGTCAGCCGGTCACCATCGGCCTGTCTCTCCCGATACCCCAGTGGTAGCCGCGGCTCCGGCGGCTGCGCCCCCCTGGCGGCCGCCGTCTCTCCGCCGCCGCCCCGACACTCACCTGCCGGCCACGCAGGCGTGCTGGTAACAGCCGGAGCCCCAGTGCTGCCACTGGCGCACCTTCTGGCACGTGCGTTCCTCCCACAACCGGGTGTGCTCGAAACACTTGCTGTTGGCCGCGTACCGCTCCAGCGCGAAGTTGCGGTCCTCGTCTGGAGGTGAGGTCAGGCCAGGTCAGGTCACCTAATCACAGATCGGGCCGCACGCGCCGAGATGGCACCGTCGCTGCAGCATTCGCGGCGTAGTCACAGCGATGGCACAGACGACGGTGATCAACTGCACGGTGGATGGCACCGAACACGAGTCCACCGACAGCGCCATGAATAGCTTCGCAACGTGCGTCACGCAGGGCCTGCTTTATTTATGCCTTCAACACAGCGATCACATAGACGTTCTTGACTTTTTGCGGGATCAAACTATCGACCGCGTTATCGCCGATTCAATCGCGAGTGATGTGAAGAAGCGCACTGCGGAAGCTGAGGAGGCGATAAGCTGAAGACGTGGGACTAAACATCGCGGTCGGATGTCGTTCTCGGCGCCTTACATGGGTTGTTCTCGGGGAAGGAGCAGTGTGAGCCGCGCACGATCACGTTGTTGGACTTCCAGGTGAACTCCTGGATGTAGGGACAGTAGTCGGCCAGTATCACCGAGCCGCCGTAGTAGCCCGTCCGGGCGGACGGCACTTGCGGCACGCGGTCGAAGTTCTGGTACCTGAAACCGTCACGAGATGACAGGTGGAAAAAGGGAAAACCTTGAATGTTTACTTGTGGCGAAGTACCAGATAACATCTCCACAACACGCATATCAGAGCCGCAACGACCACAGACGAATATGCAACAAGCGCGACAAGCGTGAATACACAACTACTTAATGCAAGACACCCGACGTGTGACGCGTCACCGACTCCTGAAACAGCCAGGAGTCGGGCTGGCCGGCCGCGCGCACCCTGGAGCCGCCGGCCTCACCTCATGGGCAGCCGGTCCGGGTACTCCACCAGGTTGCAGAGCGCCACTGACATGCGATCTTCGGTACACTCCGTCTCCAGCGGGTCGCGCTTCACCTTATTGCAGAACGGGTGCAGGGACTGGTTCCTGGCGGTCAGAGCGGGCACGTACAGCGGGGCAGCTCGCCGACCGCGACGGACGGGTGCGGCGGGGCGGCTCGCCGACCATGGCGGGCAGGCTGCTGCGGTGGCCGTCAAAGCTCACGTTTCGTTACGTCGGCTGGCGAGCGGGATTACTTTCGCTGCTCTTCTCTGAACGCGACAACGTGGTCAAACCGGCGGGCTGCCGCCGTTCGAGATAGTGGACATGGGGTTGCAGACTTTGTTCGGCTGAGCTGAATCATGAACTGGCTTACGAGCCAATCGCCTTCGGGTGAGCTGTGAGCTGAGTTGGCTCGTTAGCTGCCTCTTTGAGCCGTTCGCGTGTCTCGGCGTTTCGAATGGGATGACTTTATGAAGCGCGGCACATCAAAGCGTCAAAGCAGCAGCGATGCTTGATGTGAGTTTTTGCCCATGTTTTGGGCGTGACTCTTGGTGCTGTCAACAACCTCGCGGACAGATGGCGCCGAAGGTTTTCAAACATATGCTAATTTTACCACCAGCATGTGCGCAACGGCTTTTTATGAGGTGCAAATGTGGTAATGCGCTTGCCAGCCCCTCCCCCAAGTCATTACCGCAGCCTACACCAGTGGAGCAGAAACCGGGCACCCAACACGCCAACAACATGACCACCAGTTGAGGAGCCGCCTGCACTAGAACACCAACCAGCGCACTGGTGGTGTTACTGTTAAGACACAAACTGGCGGATAAAAGCGCACGCAGTAAACAATACATAAGTCAATGCACTGCTAACTATGAGAGCAAACAGACTGCAAGAATAAGTCGGAGATAATCGCCATTCTCCACCTGGCAGCATCAGCCCCGGCCCCTGGCGTCGCGGGACCGCTCTGAACGGTACCCAGCATGCGCACCTCCCAGAAGCGCCTTTAAACGCCGTCGCAGCGCGGCCGCCCGACGGCGGCGGCGGCGTCCAAAAGCGCCACCCGCAGCGGAGCCGGCCGACCCACCTGGCGGCGCGCATGTCCATCCAGTGTTTGCAGCTGTTCATGGCGAACTGGCAGCCGAGCCGACGTCCCCAGGACAGCGGCTGCGCCAGCTCGTAGTTGGGCTGGTACCAGCCGGTGTCCTCCATGAGGGCCAGCGTGAGGCGCGAGTACACCGGGTTCTGCGTGTGCGTGCCCGTCATGGCCTCGTTCTGTGGGCAGGCCGGCCACGCGTCGGAGTCGCACTGCCGTCCGGGCGGCCACCCAGGCTGGTGGGGTCGGTGGGCCTCCGCTGGCGCGACGGAAATGGTACCCGACTGGGCAGGAACATAAACAAACAGGGAGACAACTACGTAAACCCGAGGCTACGTGAGGCAAACGACTGCCGCTCTATTTCATGTCTGTTAATTCGAGCGAGCTATTATGCGACACGAAAGCGTTCCAAGTCAAAAAGGAAGCGTTAACGAGTTATGAGGACGCCTTAGCGTCCAACACTGCCAACCGAGAGACGTTTTACATGTCGAGTTGGGATTCACCGCGGTGAGGTGCATAACTTAGGATTCCATTTTATCGGCAGAACGGCGGGCCATGAGTTCATTCGCGGCGATGAGGTGGTGCGCATACCTCGAAGAGCCGCTTCTCCCAGTGTGTGAGCGCCGTGCCCTCCTCGCCTTGGTCCTCCAGCTCGGCACCCTCCAGCTCTGGACAGTTGAAGTGGCGCCGCACCTGAGGACAGCCGGTGCACACTGCCAGACACCGGTGCCCACGGCCAACCCTCGCACTCCCACCGCCGTCACTGGTGCTGTCCGTCGCCACTGGTGCACTGTTCATCCAGCTCCCGGTGGTGCACCCACAGCCGTCACATGCAGCCACCACGGGTACTACCAGCCACCTCTGCTACGCCTTAATCCCCTCTGGTACTCCCGCAGTCGCCGATCGTACATCCGGTCCCCACTGGTACACCTCGAGTCACCACAGGCACCTCAAGTCATAAACGGCACGAGAGAATGGCACGCGGGTCACCTAGCAGTAACATGCGCTGTCATCATCATCTGTTTCGATTAACCTTCACTTGACACGCCTGTTCTGGCCGTGCGCCGAGTCAGCACACGATAAGCGATGCGTGTGCCAGGATGCTTCTTTCGTCATGCACTGCCGTCACACAAACAGGCTCGCCCATGTGGCTCTGTAGTCCTCCTCGCACACCACCGTGCACCTGTCTTTCTTAATACGATGGAAGGTCTGACTCAACTTGCAAGGATGATAAAAAATATCAGAATGCAAAGTAAACAAAACACGTTTCTAAGACAGGAGCTGAGCCAAGACAGGCCCGTTTCAGATCGGCGTGCATCTCCTCGAGGGACGTCAGCTCAGAGCGGAACAAACCAGCAATGACAGGCGATCGTCCGCAGACGGTACAAAATTTCCCTTCCTCTTTGCAAATTTCAGCTGAGCCCGATCATACGGCGGTGAATCGAGCCTTGCCAGAAGGCTGCCGCGTTCCCCCAGGCTGCCTCGCTCACCGGTGAGCGGCCGACACGAGCGGGGCTGCCTCTCTCACCGGTGAGCGGCCGACACGAGCGCCTCACGCCTCACGCCGGCGGGTCACGCACCTCCTCCACGACGCGCGGCGTGACCACCATCTGGATGGTGCGCGTGACGTTGCCCTCCGAGGTCACCCACTCGGTCCGCTTGAAGGTCTTGATGATGCGCTCGGACCACTGGCGCGCCTGCAGCCTGCCGGGGCGACGCACGCTGGCGTCAGGTGGGACGGCGCCCTACCAGCGGGATGGCGGACTGCCGGCGGAGGCTGTTCGTACCCATTAAGTGGTGGTGGGGAGGATGCAGAGCGCCGAACGTCCACTGCGAGTTCACGTGTCACGCTTACAGTGGAAAAGGCCTCGTTGCGTCATTCCTGATTTTGGGCGCGGTTTGTCGGGGTTAGTCGGCGCGCGGGCCGCGTTCGTGTGAGGTGGACATCCCGCCTCAAGAGGCCTGGACAGATCATGGTATGCGCCGTATGCTACACCAACAGTCCCGCGGCTTAAAAGTTCCGGAAAATTTGAATGACACTATTTTGGGGTCTTGAAAAGGTCTCTTAAACAGCACAACTAAATTTAGCATTGTTATACGGACACATTCGGCGTGACACTAAAGTTCCTCGACGTCAGTCACCGATTTAAGAAGCTTGCACATCAGCAAGTTTCAACACAGATGGCTAACCGGCATGCCCCAAGTCGTCGGTTCTATTCAATCTCGATCCTGGACGCTGGTCCCGCAAACCGTTTACAGCATAAAGCAGCGCGTAAAAACACCCGCACATCAACAGAAGACAACAGCGATGTGCCGCCGCGCGGCGCGTGCTGAACCAGCAGGTCCGTTACCGCGCTACAGACCACAGCGTTACCGAGCTGCGGGCCACGGGGGAGCCAAACAGACCACCTTGGCGGCCAGCTCACCTTTCACCGCGGCCGAGGGATTTGAGGATTTGGCGGATCTGGTCAGGATTGAGCTGGCGGGAGCTGCGGCGGAGGCGGCGGGTCACAGACTGCCATGCGACCAGCATCCTGTCACGCGGATGGCAGACACGCGGATGACGGCCCGACACTGCGGTCCGGGCTCCGCACCCGGCAAACCCGGTCAGCGGCAGCGAGGCCGGGCGGGGGCGGCGGCGGCGGCGGCTGACCGCGGCCGGCCACTCTCCCAGGTGCGCCTGGGAGGCGGCGGTGCGCCCTCACGCCGCCCTCGCCGCTGAGCGCCGGAGCCCGCCCGCTCAGATCGGATTTGCAGGAGCGGCGCACGACTGCACCATTGCTGGCCGCGTGCCCGGCGCCGAGCAGGCACCGACCAATGGAGGATAATCGTGAGTTAACGTGCATGCAGAGCTGCCTTGCCCATGATCTGCCATTTCGGCGCTCAGCTTCCCGCAGCTTAGCCTTAAAAAGCCGCGTATTAGAGACGGGGTGCTCTGGAACAAAGGACTGCAATCCGGGAGAGCGTGGAAATATGTGCCGGGAAAACGTTCGTTGGCGATACCTCGTTGCCTGTTGCAGATCTAAAAGACTTCACAGAATGGGTAAGCCCGTGAGCACTCTATGGGATAGGTGACGGGTTGGAACTTGTATTTCAGACTCTAGAGAATTAGTACATGCTCTGATAGGGGTGTCGAAAAATGTAGACCAGGCGAGGCTTGACGTAAATAAATTAGTGAGCAGCGCTTCTCTGTGGCAGATGTCATTTCATTATAAGTGTAAGGTGATACAATTTGGGTAGCTGCGGCAGTGAGGGCATTAGCTATAAAATGGGAGGTTGAAAGTTGGAACGGATCAAGGGCGAAATGGACTTAAGGGTTATAATTTCCAGGGATTTAATGGCTGAAAAGCAGTGTGGGGCTGCTAGGAACAAGGCACTTCGGATGCTGGGACTTATTAACAGGAATGTCAATTACAAGGGTACGAAAGTTGTCAAAAAGTTGTACTTAGCTTATGTCGGACCACACTTAAGAGTTTTGTGTACAGGCTTGATTCCCCTGCTTCCAAAAATATGTAGACAGGCTGGAGAGAGTACAACGAAAGGCAACTAGGATGATCAATGAGGTTGGCAGGTTATAATATAAGGATAGGCTTAACGCCTTGGATTTGTATTCACTGAAATATCGTAGACTTAAAGAGGGTCTAATTGAGGTACTCAAGATTTTGAAAGCGGTAGACAAGGTAAATCTACAAGGAGCACTAGAAATTAGGCCGAAACTTAGAGGAAACCAGTTTCAATTTGCAAAACGTAGGAGTAGAACTATGAGGAGGCAGATGCCACTTAGTCCAAGAGTAGTGAATCACTGGAATAAACTGCCAAACGAAGCTGTAGGAAGTCCCTGCCTAGCAGCATTTAAAAATCGTTTGGACAAGTTTTAAACGTCTAAGGATCTCGTCTCTACTCAAATTCAGCCAGGTCAGGTGGTAAGATTAGTTCAAGGATAGGGTGAGGAGCCTAGGGTGGGCCAAAATCGATGGTCCACAGTGGCTTTTTGTGGCTTGATGTCTCCATGACTTGGCACAGACTCAGAAAAATTATGGGTGTGGATACGAGCATTGGTTGGACATCTGCAGTAAATCGGGTAGATCTACTAGATACTGAGCAATGTTACTGCTTGTGGTTCTTGAATTCATAATTAGCGGTATTTACACCACTTTTAAATCGTGGACGCAGAAATGTAGGCATGGATATCAGGTTTAAGCAATTTCTAAGTTCAAGTTTAAGCGAACGCAACCTCCGCGCGGTTCGAAAGCGCTGCACCTTGTAATGGCCAAAGACCACCAGCCCCGACATTGACGGCACGGCAGATGGCGATCGCGCAACCCACCCACGCCCCGGCCCACGGTGACGATTGCGTGATCCACCCACACCCCGGCCCACGGCGACAGATGGCCATCGCACGACCCACTCATGCCCCAGCCCACGGCGACAGATGGCGATCGCATGATCCACCCACACCCCGGCCCACGGCGACAGATGGCCATCGCACGACCCACTCATGCCCCAGCCCACGGCGACAGATGGCGATCGCATGATCCACCCACGCCCCCGCCCACGGCGACAGAAGGCCATCGCACGACCCACTCATGCCCCAGCCCACGGCGACAGATGGCGATCGCATGATACACCCACGCCCCCGCCCACGGCGACAGAAGGCCATCGCACGACCCACTCATGCCCCAGCCCACGGCGACAGATGGCGATCGCATGATCCACCCACGCCCCCGCCCACGGCGACAGAAGGCCATCGCACGATCCACTCATGCCCCAGCCCACGGCGACAGATGGCGATCGCATGATCCACCCACGCCCCCGCCCACGGCGACAGATGGCGATCGCGCACCCACCCACGCCCCCGCCCCACGGCTCAACCGGATACATCTCCCCAGCTGGGCGGCGAAGCGCGGCCGGGCGAGACGTCCACTCACCCGGGGTTGAGCTGCGGCTTGCCCGTCTCGCCGCGCAGAGTCAGAGGGTCGCCGTTCTTGTCGCGGAAGAACGCGTACAAGCTGACCGAGAAGCCGAGCGCGTGCAGGATCTCGTGCTTCACCGTCGAGATGAGCGTCTGCAGCTCCTGCTGCTTGGTGGAGATGCTGCTCGGGCAGAGGTTGGCGTGGCCGGCGATCGGCCTGCGGGCGGTACAGCCGGCGGGCGGGCGTGAGAGAGGCGAGTTCACGGTCGAGAGCAGCCCGCCCAGCACGGTCCACACGACCGCGGCCGGTGATCGCGGCCCGCTGCCGGCCGGCCAGCGCTCGGTACGTGAACACGTGAGCGTGCCGTGAACCATGCTCGGGGCCGTGGCGATAACTTTGAGACATCCCAGTCATCGTGATGAGGTAAAGCACACTCGGCAAGGCACCGACATGTGCAACGGTGAGCGGGCACGCAAACGCCATCTGCATGCCAGCCAACCTGTTTGCTTCCTGCACGTTCAGGCAAACAACACCCCGATAGCTCCGTCTGTGCTCTATGAATTACAGTTCTAGGGAATGAGATCAGTGCAATCGGCATTTCCACCACAGCTACGGATATTTCCGCACCATTGTGTTCGCGAGAGAAACGCGCCTGGTCCCGTGCTCAGTTCAAGGAAACTAGCCGAAGCCGTCAACCACGCTCAAGGCACCAATGTAATTCAAATGAATATCCACCTACCAGCTGTCTGGGACGCTATTCCGGTGTCTTAATCTCGCGTCTCAAGGCCCCCCAGCACCAGTCTACATCCCCCGCAGACAAGTTTATTTCGGGCCCGCCAGCGCCCCACTTTGTCCAGCCGCTCAGGAAGGAATGGTCTGTTTTGAGCCGACAGTGCAGCCTTCAGCGCGATCGTGGGTCGTCGCTCCGAGCCGTTTTTGTTCGTCCCACTTGGCCGGTGTTCGAAGGATCCCCATACCCTCGTGGCTTTAACGTTCCGTGTTGTATGCGTTTGTAACTTGTTTTACATGTTTGTAACCTCATCTCCCGCTGAGATGACGCTCGATGATGATTACCCGACAGACGGAACTGACCTTTACCTTTGCCGCGACGCGTGTGAGCACCGCCCGGGCCAGCTGCCGGGCGGTCCAGCGTCGACCCCGCGCCGACTGACCTGTCGAGCGGGCCCAGAGTCGACTCCGCGGCCGACAACCTGTCGAGCGGGCCCAGTGTCCACCCCGCGCCGACTGACCTGTCGAGCGGGCCCAGTGTCCACCCCGCGCCGACTGACCTGTCGAGCGGGCCCAGTGTCCACCCCGCGCCGACTGACCTGTCGAGCGGGCCCAGTGTCCACCCCGCGCCGACTGACCTGTCGAGCGGGCCCAGTGTCCACCCCGCCCGCAGACTGACCTGTCAAGCAGGTCGTGTCCATCCCGCGCCGACTGACCTGTCGAGCGGGTCCAGTGTCGACTCCGCGGCCGACAACCTGTCGAGCGGGTCCAGTGTCGACCCCGCGCCGACTGACCTGTCGAGCGGGTCCAGTGTCGACCCCGCGGCCGACTGACCTGTCCAGCGCGGCCTCCTGCTGACAGTGGGCGGCGTAGGCGACGGTCATGCCGCGGTGGCAGCGGTCCGTCTCCAGGGCTGAGATGTAGAACACGAAGTCGGCGCCGGTGAGCCCCTCGCCGCTCGGCTCCTCCGCCACCCGGCAGTTCTGGCCAAACGCGTTACAGACGCGGCACGCCTGCGGCACCGGGAGTAGAGCGGGGTCAGGGGCGGAGAGGGTACGCCACGGGGAGTAGAGCGGGGTCAGGGGCGGAGAGGGTACGGCACCGCGAGAAGAACGGGGTCAGGGGAGGAGAGGGTACGGCGCCGGTGGTAGCGCGGGGTTAGGGGACATCGGGGTAGTACGATGTCAGGGGAGGGAAGAATACGGCAACGGGGTAGTGCGAGGTCAGGGGAGGGAAGAATACCGCAACGGGGCAGCGCGAGATGAGAAGAAAGGGTACAGTATAAGAGGTAGAGTGGGGTCAGGGGAAGGAAGGGTGCGGCGTAGGAGGCAGCGAGGGGGTCAGTATGGGGTTCGCACGGGACAGGGGTCAATGTCAGGTCAAGGGAGTACGTTACAAAGGTCAGCCGTGAGGTCACGATAGAGATCTGGTACCGGGGTACGGCGGGGGAACGCACGGTACAGGGGTCACCAGGGGGACCAGATGACACGAAGGGCAGTACCCCACATTAATCATGAAATGGGAGCATTTCGCCTGCCGTGGGCATTCTGTACCAGGGCATCACTGATGATCGTTGCGCCCCGACTTTCGATGATGGATTGACATACACACACGCGCACGCACGCGCACACGCACACGCACACGCACACGCACACACATACGCATACGCACACCCACCCACACCCACACACCCACCCACACCCACACCCACACCCACACCCACACACACCCCCACACACACACACCCCACACACCCCCACACATACATATATATATATATATATATATATATATATATATATATATATATATATATATATCCCATCCCTCACCGTTGTCGGGCGAATGCATGGAGCTTCGCCCCTGAGTGTATTTCTTGTGCGATTCCTTACTGAACTCAGCGAGGGTGCGCTGCGTTGGGGCTGCGCTGCGGACGCCAAGGATGAACGGCGCAAAGAGGATCAACACGCTGACACAGGCCTTTATGCTGCGTTGGTGAGGAAGGCGAGCGTGATGAATGCTGTTTAGGCTAATTGCAACCAACGTGATCAGGAGTGGTTTGGAAACCAAGGCGATTAACGAGCTGGCTGCATGTCTCCCAACGTGTGATGCCGCGGCGCAGAGCTAGCTGCTCGGGTTGGCTAAATCGTAGGCGGACCAGCGGTGACGTCTGTTTTTTTCCACACATGGCCAAAGTGGATCAACTGATGGAGGCCGACGATAATCGTAGTGATGAATTTTCCCTCGACTTGGCTTGACCGGACTGTGCCATATGTATCACAGGGCACACCGCGACGCCTCTACCAAAACCCTCACCCATACAGCTGTCAGAAAGCACACGAGCCATCGCCTGAATCTTGACCCCATTGACACGCGTCGATAACCCAGCGTTGCCCTCTCCTCATTATTCACACACCACACGAACAACGGGGCCAGCCGGCCGGCCGGCAGGACGTCTGCGCCGATCCGGGTCGAGCGGCGCGCTGCCGCGATCGCCGCCCCAGTCGACTGCGATAGCGCACGAGGTCCGGCGCGGCGCGCCGACCACCGCCGCCGCCCGCCGTCCGACCGCCGCACGCGCCGGCACAAAAACGCGGGGGAGGGGAGGCGCCCAGCCGGGCAGACTCGTCCGTCGCACCCACTGCGAGCGGCGAACCGACACCGACCCCGCCACGCGCGGAGGACGGAGACGAGCGCCGCTCAGAGATCCCGTGAAGCCGACCGCTGAGCGGTGTTTGGCCTTTGCACATCCGACAGCTTTCCGATGATGCCGACCGCTACACGATGTTTGGTCTGCACACACCCGCCGCCAGCTTCTTGGTGAAGCTGACCGCTGCACGGTGTTAAGTCTGCGCACACCCGCCAGCTTCCTGGTGAAGCCGCGAAGCAGGTTGGGCGCTTAGCAGTGACAAAGCGTGTTTCGATTCATTTAGTTCAGCGTATCTCCAATCACCGCAAGCAGTAGCATAGTGAACGCTGTGGCTGCCGGATAAGACGGAAAAATACCGTTCACCACGCCGGAAGCCTAATCCCTTCGACGAATGAGCCAGCGAGCGAACTCACAGTGGTACCAGGCTCAAAGCGCAGAGGAGCGCCGGCAGCGGTCGCTGTACATGCCTGCAGAGAAGACAGGCGCTCCGGACGGGGTACATTCCGTCTGTCGGACATGCACCTACACCGGCCGCCAATCCCAGTATGGGCTCCAAGCGGGAGAAGACAGCCGCACAGCTCAGGGCACAGCGCAGTCATAGAACAGTTGAGACTTATTGAGACTTCTTGTGATAAATCATGCTTGCATTCTAAACCAATTCACTGATCTGAGAACGTGATAAGACAGTAGTGAAAACCTTATTTCTCGGAGAAAAACCAGGAGAATGGAGATATAATTGGGATGATATTTCGGCAACATGCCTTTACCGAAACAACAACAAAAGATCTGAGAACATGCCTAAGTCTCCGAAACGTGGCTAGCTTGAAACAAGCCTGTGATAATTACATGACAGTTATCTTAGGTGCCACAAGCAGGCACTGAAACAAAATGTCCCATCCGCGACTGTCCACCCCAGGGGACTAAACAAGGTCACGCTACAAAAGCTGCGATCCTCTCAGCACGATTCGAGTATTAGCGACGGGAGTATGCATGTCCTCGGTCCAGTGGTTTCCCTAAGCTCGCGTGGAAGCCGCGATAGTCCACCGCTGGAGCGGCTTTCCCAGTCAGCCGTCTTAAGCAGATCAGAAACAACGCAGCGCTGTTCCGCGCGTTTCCCGAGAACCGTTCCAGCCGGTCGCTGCACCTGCAACTACGGAGGGTCATGGCCGCTTGCATGCGCTCAATCGAAGCCTGATAGGAACACGAACTTCCAATTAAGTGGATAAGGGTTTTGCCCGAAACCAAATCGGCGGTCGGACACCGTGGTTTAAAGCTGAAGACAAATCCGATGTTCGTGCCTTCCTCGGCTGAGCGTGTGGGGAAGGCCAGCCGTCTCAATTTACAATAACGGTTCCAATTACGGGACATCGTTCCAAGTACCGACCAGGGGATCAGCCAACCTGATTCTGGTCCTGTGGACATCCCACCGTTCAGGACGACCACATCTTCAGTACATCTGGTGCCGGGAGGCGACACCACCCAGAGGCCCTGATGCAGCAGAGCGGCCAGACACCACCCAGAGGCCCTGATGCAGCAGAGCGGCCTGACACCACCCAGAGGCCCTGATGCAGCAGAGCGGCCTGACACAACCCGGAGGCCCTGATGCAGCAGAGCGGCCTGACACCACCCAGAGGTCCTGATGCAGCAGAACGGCCTGACAGCACCCAGAGGTCCTGATGCAGCAGAGCGGCCTGATATCGCCCAGTAGACGTTACAGTGCCCGGTGTGCCGGCACCGCCCAGTGAAGGTCTCGCGGCAGCTGTCTCTGCAGTATCACTGACGTTTTATGCCGACCAAGACAGCGCCCCCCCCCCCCCCCCCCCCCAGCGCACTGACTCGGCGGCACCATCACACGGCCTCTCTGCCGCTGCTGTCCGCAGCAGCACCCACCCGGGGTGTCTCGCCCGGTGCCGGCGCGGCATGCGGTGCTCGCCTCCGGCACGGTGGCGCGGCGGCCGCACTACAGCGCAGGAGAGCTGCCCTGCGCGGGCCGCCGCCGCTCGTCAGACAACGCGCCGTTCAGCTGCACCGCGGCGGCGCTGCAGCTCGGCTTCATTGAGCGGGTCACAGCGCCGGCCGTGCCCGTGCCGCCGCCCCGCACGGGCAACATCCTGATCACGACCGGGCCGCGGCGCGGCGAGGAGCTGCACTGGGGAAGGAGGGGGACCCCGAGTACGCGCTGAACACTCACGCCTCTGGGAACGTACTAGTGCTTACCTGCGGCGTGGATCATTCAGTATGAGAGGCATGCATCGGGGGAAGTGGGCAGAACACTCGCCCATGGGAACCCCCACCCCAGCCCCCGCCCCCGCCTGTCTGCCGAGCACGTTAGCCGGACGTCACGTCCGCGGTAGAAGCCGGTGTGCGCAGCGTGGGTGTTGCAACAGACCAGCGGTAGCGACGGGGAACGGCGCAACGTGCCCGACACGCCACCAAAGCCGCGCACATCGCAGGAGTCATTGTTCCGGTTCATTTGAGCAACGCCCCCGCCGGGCAGCAGCGTTCAGGGGTTCACGGGATCAAAGCTTTGTGGCGGTAAAAAGATGCATTACGGTGACGGGCACGAAGTCCAACCAATGTTTAGGAGAACAAAAAGACAACGACTGCCTGCACAAGTGAAACGCGTCGGCGTCGCAGTGGCTAGTTCCGTGCCAGGAGCAGCGGCGCCTTCCACAGTGTCGGCAGCTCACCTGCAGGTGGTCTTTGGGAACTTCCACCTCCCCGCACATGGTCTGCTCTTCGCACGCGTTCTTGCAGTATGGCAGCGGGTCGCCTTTCTTGTAAAACACTTGATTATCGCGGCATTTCCTGGAGCAGACGGACAGTGTAAGGTGTTGCTCCGCCTGGCCCTTAATGATGCATGCTGCTCGGCTCCGCCCCGGGGCGCAGCCAGGATTTTCCTAAGGGAGGGACCGGCGCCCGGTGAGTACGGATCACGCGAACTTTTCACTTTCTTTCGAAAACCGTACCTGGTAAGACATGAATAATCCGAGCCTGCGGAGAGGCCCGCCCCTCTCCCGGGTCTCTCCACTGGCTGCGGCTCTGCGCCGCCACGAGTGGATCTTCAGTTGCGCCCCTAGCCCCGCTACAGTCAGTGGGTCTGAGTCGCACAGTTCCGCCACAGCGAACGCACCAGGTGCAGCCAAGTTCAGCCACCGGCCAGTCGCTGCACCAGTGCGTACAGTGCTGAGCGGGCGTGTGGTACGCGGCGCCGAAACCAGGACGCTGTCCGGACAGCCGTTTTGTCATACGTCACTCATGAACGGGGGGCCAGGAGCGCCCGTGGCAATCTGCCGCGGCGCATAACACCTTACTGTAACGCTCAAATTAGGAACTGGATGCTGCAAAGCCGCGGCAATCCCTGCTGATAAATATGAGAGCTACTAAACAAACGAGACAAGAAAAAACGCAAGGAGATTAGTATTTTCCAGGTTAGTGATGGGAGCTTTGACGCACAAATGTGCCTTGAAAGGAGAGATAATGGAGGCAGTTGGTGCCAAGCATGACAACTGACAAGGCCACTGGCACCGGTAGACACGCCAATCTGATAATACAAAACTAGGCTGGGATAACGGACGTTAGTATTCAGGACAAATCAGGGCATTTCAGGGGAAATCTGGTCTGGGTACGCGCATACCGGCACGTCTGCCAACGAAAGACTGAGAACATTGTTCTCCAACCGTCAACAGCGGTGTCCGCGTAGTCAGTCGAGGTGAGATCATAGTTGGGCTGCGCACAATGCTACAATTCAAGTGTCTGTGTGTCATTGGGGCTTTACGACGCACTCAGCTGCTGGGGCTATATGACGTCAATTGCCTCTCATCCTGGCAGGAAGGTCGGGCACCGCGGGGAATCGAACCCCGTGCTTCCAGTTCCCCAGACGCGCAGTGGTTAACGCAGACGCGTTAACCACTACCCTACCGGCGCCTATGCTACAAGTCGATCTGGATGTCATGCACACATGCGCATGTGCACACAATCACACACAACACTCACAACTTGACACATTACACTTGCTTTTCTTGTTTTGCCTTGTTTTTACGTGGGGAGGGGGGGGGGGCGGGTCTAGTATTTTGGTCCTTTGTGTCTGCCGGCCGCTGTTTTTTCTTTGAATGTAGTTGGCGTGTCAGCTCCCAACCGGGGGCGGGAGCTGCGGCCGTCCAAAGCCAGGGGTGTCTCGGTCCGTGGGCCGACCACTAACCACAGGCAGCCCGCGGCCGAGGGGACGGCCCGCCGGTCACGCCAAACACCGCGGTCAGCGGCATATCCTCGGTGGCATGACATACACGATATGGGTGAGTTTATATATATACACACACACACACACGCACGCACGCACGCACGCACGCACGCACGCACGCACGCACGCACGCACGCACGCACGCACGCACGCACGCACGCACGCACGCACACACACACACACACACACACACACACACACACACACACACACACACACACACACACACACACACACACACACACACATATATATATATATATATATATATATATATATATATATATATATATATATATGTGTGTGTGTGTGTATGTGTGTATGTATGTATGTATGTATGTATGTATGTATGTATGTATGTATGTATGTATGTATGTATGTATGTATGTATGTATGTATGTGTGCATAATGGATGGTCGGTAAACATGTCATTAAGTATCGGCCTAAATGATGGGGAAGCCCCCGCTAGCCCTAAAACCGATGCAATGCTGTGTTTTTACGCCACACGCGTGGAAAAGGTATGGCGGTACACTGTTGTACACGGCGCCGCCCCTAGTGTGACATTCGTCTTGACCTTATCCTGGTCGCCCGTGACCCCAAGACCGGGTAGTTGGTTTGGTTGCGAAAAAACGGTCACAGCCGAAGTGATCATTTATATTCTGCCCCTCCCTTTCTTCCAAGCCGTCAATATGTCTCTCGGGTATCAGTCCCCTCCCTCTCCTTACTCTCCTCCCCTTCCCTCTTCTCACAGCACTCATGTAATAGTGAGCCCGACAAACGCACGCGCTGATGATATTGATCAGGCGACACAATGTTGGTAGACGGCCAGGCCCGAGCGTGCTGCCGTCATCAGCACTCAGTCACGGACACGACGATACGCTGATGGCGGCTTCAGATCACGACATAGCGGACTCGCTAACCCTGAGCTGCGCGGCACGACGGAGCTGCCACGAGGTATGCACCTCCTCTGGTGGCAGGCGCGCCGACAGACCAGCGGAAATGCAGCTCGACAGAGCTGAGGGGAATCGTAGGCCAAAACAGGGCAAATAAATACAAATTCTTTGGTGGAGATTCCGAATCGCTTGATGGTGGTCCGACTCGGCATGTCACTCCCGCGAGCACATTTCCTAGACGCAAACGTCAGCTTACAGTCTTCTAGGGATCATCGCAAAAATATCAGCACACTCCAAACGGAACGTGGCACTGACAGCCACATAATGCTCGAAAACATTTCTACTTGGTCGTGTCCGTTCACAGCGTGCCAAAGCATTAGGCTTCGCGAGATCCTTACTAGGAAAAACCAAATGCCGCCACTTCAGCGGGACAAAAATCAAAAAAAGTTTTTTAATTGGCACTCAAAGCCTATCAAGAAGCATTTTTAATAGGCTTTGAACATCTCTGTCAGCTTAATCGGCCAATCAGTGCTTCTTACGGCCGCTCTCCCCTATCTCGCGCCACATTTCATGAGTACACTTTGTGTGGCTTTTCGATGAAGTATAGCAGTTGTTAAGTTTCAGCTTGCCGTAACTTATGCGATTTAGCCACATACCGTGAAAATTTTACTCCAATGATCAAACAGCAGCCGGACAAGGTTTGTGCCATGCCAAACCCTCTATTTGCCGTGCCTACGCGCGCCGCGACGTTTCAACCTGCCCTTGGAACGAGTTGGCGAAGATCCCCCTGCAGCCCAGAGCACGACATGCACACTGGATTATGTTTCCAGAGGCTGGCAACTTTCCGCAAGAATTATGCTACGAGGTCGCGGCATCCACCACACTTTTTTTTAGAAAATGCAAGAGCGGACACACATTTAGGACGCCCATCAGACATATCACTGAGCACTAGCAGGTGGTCAGGAATATAAGGTGATGTAAGACTTCAGTGCTTTTTATTATTTTCTGCAGCGACGTTCGCCACCCCCGCTTTCTCCGCAACATCAGATAGTGGAGCTGAAGGAAATCATGACAAGAGCCCTACAGCAACCTCGCCTCAGTCATATGCAGTGGTGTAGCCGAGGGGGAATTCTTGGGGCCGCGGCTCCCATCCCCTGGAGGTGGCGGGGCATGTACTTGTTGTCAGTTCAAGACGCCTGTAGAGCTTCTTAAACGTCGAAGTACGGGCCCGATGCATCAAAATCGAATTCCAAGCAGAAAAAGGTCCCCCAAATCCCAAACAGCGCCCTAAGCAACGAGACGAATCCCACTGGGCTGAACGAACCCCCCATGACTGAATTTATACCCCTCCTAGGTGCACCCAGACTACACCACTGGTCACATGTGGTTCAATTCTGACTATCCCATTGATCATATATGGTTTAATACTAACTGCACCACTATTCACATCTGGTTCAATCCTAACCGCACCACTGGTCATGTGTGGTTCAATCCTGATTACACCACTAGCCATATGTGGTTCACAAAAGAACGTGACTACGTCACGAGCCGCGCGACGCGTTAAGCACCACTGCGATACGACCGAACGCTCGGAAGAAGGGCGTAATATGGCCTCTCAACTCATGGTCAGGGGACACGGAAACGGAGCTGAAACCCCGTTACCACACGGCGATAAGAATGGAGAGTGCGTCCCTGCACAAATGTCATAGCATTTCAGTGTCTCCCGCTTGCAAATGATCGTCATCGGCTGATGGCAGTGATTTAGCATCGCAGAAACGACTCGCGACGCAAGCTCACGAGATCATGCCTTCTACTTTATCCTGGGCTAAAACTGTAAAACACTTAATACAATAGCAAATCTCTTGACAACGTGCCTGCAAGAATGCGTTTTAAAAATCCGCTTACAACGATGAAGAGCAGACAAGGTTGGGCTTCTGAACGCTGACGTGGCCTTGCCTGCACGAGCGTTCGCAGCGTTACTGGACTCACGGAGTGCCGGTCCGGGCTTCCGCTGCTGTCATGGATCTTGGAAAGCTGCGCCCACGCTAACGAGAGCTAATTTGACATGATGAAAATGAAACAAGGCGAGGAACAATTAAAACAAGGGTCCAGCACACGAAATACTTTGTTGTCCAAGCGGCAGCCCCTGCTGATTTGAAACTGATAACGCCGTCCATCGCGTCAGGAGCAGCGATGGACGGCGTTATCCTGCTGGCGCTGACACCGGCCGCCGGCTGGCGCGCGGCGCGTACGACCCACCTGTTGAGGCGGATGACATCCTGTACGCGGCGCACCCTCAGCGCCTTCTCCCAGTACTGCACCGCCTGGGGCAGCACGGTGTTCTGTGGAGGTGACAGGCGGGGGTCAGGCTCCACAGCCAGGGCGGCACCGCGGAGCGCGCGCGCTGGCGGAGAGCTCGTGACCCCGCAGATCGGCGCCACCCGGTCGCGCCGGGTCGACGATACGCACACGACACTGACGGAGGTCGGCTTCAGTTCGCGCGAAGAGGTGCGGAACTCTGTCAAAATCCGGCACTGTTGCCGTACAGGTACCAGTCTTTAAGGAGCTGAGCATCAGCCTGCAATGCACTCAACATTGCATTGCAAAATGTCCCGACACTGGCATCGTGCCGCCAGTCAGCACCCCCCCCCCCCCCCTTCCCTCCCCCGTCGTAGTATCGTCAGAACACAGTGCGGCGCGGAACCGGCTGACATACCATGGTCCTGAAACACTGCACCTCCAAAGCGGGAAAGACGAAGTAAGACATCTCTTGCGTCTTTGTGCGAACAAAGAACAGTAAACGTGAATTGATGAAGCATCATCGCGTAGATTATACCTTAACATAATCCGATGGCACCAGATAACTACAACAAGCAAATGGCATTGCTCAAAGCGTAAAAAGCCTAACGTATATAATGAAATAGCAGGCAGACGTCAACTGATGAAGCGTTCACTAGACTGAAGTTTCACCCATTGAAAGGAAATGGTATATATATATATATATATATATATATATAAATAATAAATGGTATATGTCCTCTCTCTCTCTCTCTCTCTCTCTCTCTCTCTCTCTCTCTCTCTCTCTCTCTCTCTCTCTCTCTCTCTCTCTCTCTTTCTGTCTCTGTTCTCTGTCTCTGTCTCTGGTCTCTGTCTCTGTCTCTGTCTCTGTCTCTGTCTCTGTCTTGTCTCTGTCTCTGTCTCTTGTCTCTGTCTCTGTCTCTGTCCTCTCTGTCTCTGTCCTCTGTCTCTGTCTTCTGTCTCTGTCTCTGTCTCTGTCTCTGTCTCTGTCTCTGTCTCCTGTCTCTGTCTCTGTCTCTGTCTCTGTCTCTGTCTCTGTCTCTGTTCTCTGTCTCTGTCTCTGTCTCTGTCTCTGTCTCTGTCTCTGTCTCTGTCTCTGTCTCTGTCTCTGTCTCTGTCTCTGTCTCTGTCTCTGTCTCTGTCTCTGTCTCTGTCTCTGTCTCTGTCTCTGTCTCTGTCTCTGTCTCTGTCTCTGTCTCTGTCTCTGTCTCTGTCTTCTGTCTCTGTCTCTGTCTCTGTCTCTGTCTCTGTCTCTGTCTCTGTCCTCTGTCTCTGTCTCTGCTCTGTCTCTGTCTCTGTCTCTCTCTCCTCTCTCTCTCTCTCTCTCTCTCTCTCTCTCTCTCTCTCTCTCTCTCTCTCTCTCTCTCTCTCCTCTCTCTCTCTCTCTCTCTCTCTCTCTCTCTGAAGGGGTGTATATATAATATAAATTGTGCATATATTTACTAAGTATATATATATATATATATATATATATATATATATATATATATATATACATATATATCACACTGGGTGCATACTGTTCTCAATAAACCCGCCTACAGGCCTGCGCAGCTTCATGGCCAAATATGCTTTCGGTTCAGGCCACGGAGTGCTGAACTGAAGAACACTCAGCAAAGGCGATATCGGCCGTGGCATCGGCATTAATCATGCTTCCCACTTGATTAATGGATTACTTCTGAGCCTTTTGTGTCTGATGGTGTTGGCTCGCTTAGTTAATTGTTCAAGGTACATTCAGCTTAGTCATGCCACCGGTTTCACGTTTTTATCCGCCCTGGTTGCCGATTTCCGAGACCAAGCCTTAAAAACGCGTCAATACGGGCGAATCTGCGGTTAGTGTTTGAGACCCGCGCGACCGGCTGCACCCGTCGGCCCGCACCCCTCCCCACCTGACTGTCCGTGCTGCTTCCGTTACCACGTGACAACGTCGCAGCTCTATGGCACGAATCAGCGAGATCTGCACGCTTCTTGTGATACACGGTCTCGGTCCGTTTGGGAAGCTTTCATCGCGATCAAGGGATTGTGTGTTCCTACATGCTAATGACATGAGGAAAGCAGCAATGTGCTCAAATTCCAATGTTGCAGCATAGCCAGACCATTTGAGCAGCCTTTCTGCGAATGCTTAAGAAATTTAAGCGGTGCCACTTTAAAATGATTACGCTAGTGAAAACTGCATGAAGCTACGAGCATTGGTTGTGGCGACATCAGTTTCCACGGAGCGTGAAGGCGGAGCCGGGCGAGGCCGCCTCAGCTGAACATTGTCTCGGAGTTTAATGACAATCGTATTGGGCTTTTGTGCCGGTGGCTATGCAAATCACACATGTGGGAAATGCCTGAAATTTCTGACTTTTCGGCATTTGGGCTTATAAACTGAAAATAACGAGTTCATCCGGCTGGTAGCATCCCGCCGGGGGAGCTCACCTATGCTAAAACGTAGATATCCCCAGACGCATGCAATTCACGTGCCAGGGAGCTCCAAATCCCGGAAGGACATAGCGCATTAGGTGGTATTCTTGGCAGTGAACAAATTACAGGACGCGCTTCAGTTACCACTGTGATCTGCCGGGTGATAAGGGCTCGATACTCCTCGCCGCTAAAAGGACTCCTGCAGCGGACCACTGCACTTGACCTGAACTGAAGTCAATAAAGTGGGTTGCTGCATGGTCGGAGAGGACATTAGCAGAGGAGAGCATGACAGGGCTGGATACAACTGGTGGGCCCAGCCGTTCGCAGCCCGTAAGGCAAAACAGGAAGCTTAGTATTGCTGGTAAAAAACACGCCACTAAATAATACGCAGAACAGAAGCGGACGTTGCAATCTTCACTGTACTCAATTCGTTTGCTACTTACATTGATGAGATCGAACTTCTCCTTGCTTAACCTGCAAAACAGAACAAAGTTATACAACTTCCATCATGGGGGACATATGCAGAGCATATGAACTCTCCAAAAGTCAGCGCGTGGGAGAGCATGGACAATACACACAACCATCATACGAACCCGACAGCAACCATTCAGTGATGAAACAAGTACTACCACAAACACTCAAAACCAAGGGTTTGTCTTCTCGCGCGAGGCATGCATCAGACAGTGGGCCTGCCGTTAGCCATAAGACGGATGCCGAGGAGGGCTAGGAATTTATTAAATGACGTAGGCATGTACAAATGTGTGCGTGATTTCAGTTACGCAAGTACAGGCCTACACATCTATAATTTAGAACGGAGGAAAAGGGCACGGAAATGAAGGCATGGGAAGAAAAAATGTCCTTAAGGTGGAAATTTTGTGAGAATATGCACGAGAGCGCTGGCTCCAGAGCTCCCTTGAATTTCCCGGCTGCCGAGACCAAATTGGGTGCATCGTTCTGCACAGTTTTTCGAGCCGAAAATCTGTCCACAGACCGCTCTGCCAACCAGTGGAGACCGCCACAACCGGGTATTGCATATCCCATCTTTTTATCACAGTCCACACGCAAGCGCGTGAAGAATGCCAAGGCTGTTCCAGATCGTCGGACTGATGTGCGCGCGCTGATAACCGCGAGACCGAAAATGATCGATCTTGATATTCACAGAGGTAATACTTTGATGAGGAAAACCAGCCGGTCTGTTCGGTAACGCACCACAACACCAGCATGCTGGAGGAGAAAACGGACTTTTCGTAAATGCGCACCACTTCTCTGAACTCCGTCAAGCGTCCCTGGCCCCATTTGACCACGTCCGCAAGCATTACCGCGCCACGCTGAGTTCTTGAAAACAATCCCACCAGCTGTCGGTTCCCACCAGATTTCACCTGCGCACTCCTTGAACACACCGTTATGAAAGCCGGACCTAACCGGTGTCTGATATTTCCAATACTGTCGCATGTGTAGTGCCTGGTCAGGTCTGCGCTCTCTGACGTCGCCGGGGTTGATCAGCGGACGAAAATAGCGAAGTTTTCGTGTAGCTTTGCCTATCAGTGGTGGAAATAAAGCGCTGAGAACGCTGTTCCGGCGCCCACCAGCGCCAAAGCGCGATTGTTGACGGTGCGATGATAAGCGGTGACTATCAGCGTCCCCTCCCCCCCCCCCCCCCCACACACACCGACACAAATGCATAGCAGTTCGGACATAACTACTCGTTCAGATCACGACGCGATGAGTCATCAGATCTCCATCCCCTCCACCAAGCCAGGCGTCACGGTTTGACGGGCCCGCCGGTCACGCTCCGACCAAGGACAGCCTGGCGACGTGGGGCGGAGAGGGGTCGTGACGAGGCGGCGGGGCAACGACCACAAGTCGACATACAAAGCGAATGTGGTTTCACTCGTGGGTCGGATTTCGCCCCCTCAACTGTTCCCATAACTGGTGGCTTCGTTTTCCCCAACCATCGCTTAATGACAGCCTACCAGTATGTGAATGTGATGACGGCGCACATCGGCACGCCCAGCTGTTTCGGAGACCGGCGATCGAGAGGCTTCCCTGGAAGGCGCAGCGATATATCTTGTTTTGAGCTCTGCACCGCGCGATACATCTCAGCTCGTTACGTTCGCCAACCTCTCGAGACGAGTGGCCGGGTGACAGGTGAAACCCAGCGGACACAAACGCCCAGAGACGGTGCCTCTGCATCGGAAGCCGACCTGTTCCCGCGGGTCGCTCTCTCCTCCCAGCCCCCAACACGCACACCTCCCGCCCCCCCCCTCTCTCTCTCCCTCTCTCTCTTTCTCTCTCCCTCTGCCTCTATCTCTGCCTCTATCTCTGCCTCTCTCTCCGCCTCTCTCTCTCTCCTTGCCTCTCTCTCTCTCTCCCTCTGCCTCTCTCTCCCTCTGCCTCTGCCTCTGCCTCTGCCTCTGCCTCTGCCTCTGCCTCTGCCTTTGCCTCCGCCTTTGTCCCTGCCTCTCCCCCCCCCCCCTCCCCGTTTCCTCATATGCACCCGGCGATCCGTTCTTTCAGCTCACCACAAGCACTTCTCGCAAGCCCACATGCGTTAGGTCTGGATTCCGAGGCGCATTTCGGCGCGCCGACCAATAATTGGTGCCGAGGCCTTTCTGCAGGGCTTCACTGGTGTTTGGTATTTGTTCGTTTCTGTCAGCTATTCTCTTCACCACAGTCGCGGTCCTCACGCCAGGGTCTGCAGACTGCACCTGGGCTCCTTACCAGCTGTTTTCAGTAATGATCGCAACTTCTTGGACGTCATTAAACAGTCAGTATTTCCATTGGCAACAACACCACGGACGCTCCAAAAGTGTGCTTACGAGCCCGGCACCATCGACCACGGCTGATACACCTGCAGCACAAGGTCGGGGCGTTGGCTGGCCGGACCGTGTCCGCTCCGCCCAGGCACCCCGGCGGACACCGGCCCGGCGCCACAGGGCGGCTCTCCTCCCAGCTCGCTGGCTGGCGCAGCGCCGCGCCTGGCTCAGTTGACCGGAGGACACTCAGTAAACCGAACTTCGGCGCCGTACGGCACATGCTAACATGGATCTGACGACGCGCGCGGGTTTGGGGTTTGGGTCTGGCAGACAGGAGCAGGAACCGCCCTACATGTGTCCACCCCCGAGCCGGACAGCAACTGACGCACCAATGCCAGATGGCCCATCAATATTCCCGCCCAGCGTTGTGAAGCCTCGTTTTCGGTCTCATCAATAGGCCGAGTACGCCGCCAGCCGGTCGTGTACGCCGGAGCGACGGGGCCAGCGGCGGCGGCGCCGGCAGACGCTGCTGGCCGGCTGAGCGACGGATGGCGGCGACCAGCGGCGAGAAGGCCCGGCCGGCCGGCGGCGCGGCCGCTGGGATCGGTGCCGGGCCGCCACCCGGCGCGACCGGCGCGGACCGGCCGCCGGCGTCGCCGCCGGAGCGTGGTAACCGTGTCGGGTGACGTCACGCGCCGTCCACCAATCGGGCGCGGCTGCGAAAGGGCCCGACCGCCGGGAGAGCTGCTGTGAGGTGCCGGGCTGGTGGCTCTGTTTCGCGGTGGATATGCGCACGTCTCAGGACGTGCGGTGATAGCGGCCTGCTTAAGTGGACAGGTGGCGTGTGCTAGTCTGACAGGTTCTGCAAGCGGTATAGCCTGCCGTCTCTTCAAGACAACTGGTCAACTCATGAGTGCTGCATGAAAAAACACATTCTCTCCAACAGGCTTTGTGTATGAACCTTGTTACTCCTACATTTTTGGCGCCTGAAAAAGCTGCTGAATTTGTGTGGACCGGTGGGCAGCACGAGTTTCTACTTCCGGCAAGGTGCATTATTGGCAAGGGTGCTATGGCCACTCAGGAACAGGTCATCGTGCATGGCAGATCGAATCGAACATACATTGACGTTGGCACGAGCTCTCTCCAATGCGAACGCTATTGGTGCCCCGATCTTCAATTTAAACACATATCAGCAACCAAAGCGGCAATGCTTGCGTACGAAAATGAGCCACTGCGAGTATACGGCGTCGCCTCGTGCACTCTTACCTTGCTTTCCGAAGCTAACCCTGATCTAACAAAGCGCAGTCCGACGTGTCTCGGTTCTCAAAGTACCGGCTGTTGGCTTAACCGTGACCAAGACGTAATAGATAATAGCTGCCGGGCCGCAATCGCTCCTTTATTCCCACATGTGGCGGCCCGAATCAGACCAGAGGTAAAAAAGGTCACGTCCCAGGACAGAAGCCGCGGTGTTTAATCAGAGCACCCCGTGCATGGTCAGCAGACCGGCGTCCAGTCGGCTGCTGTCGCGCCGCGCGGCCACGGGATCAGCGGAGAACGAAATACCACAACCTGCTCATGACCCTGCGGACTGCTTCGCCAGGCGTCCCGCCGGCGAATGCGAACGGAATACAACAGATCTGCTCATGACCCTGCGGACTGCTTCGCCAGGCGTCCCGCCGGTGAATGCGAACGAAATACAACAGGCCTGCTCATGACCCTGCGGACTGCTTCGCCAGGCGTCCCGCCGGCGAATGTGAACGAAATACAACAGATCTGCTCATGACCCTGCGGACTGCTTCGCCAGGCGTCCCGCCGGCGAATGCGAAAGGAATGCAACAGACCTGCTCATGAGCCTGCGGACTGCTTCGCCAGGCATCCCGCCGGCGAATGCGAACGGAATACAACAGACCTGCTCATGACCCTGCGAACTGCTTCGCCAGGCGTACCGCCGGTGAATGTGAACAACAAACTTCCAAACACACGCGAACCTGAATGCTCTTCGGAAGAGTTCACTGCGACTGGCCTCAGGCAACATCCCTTTCCATGTCTTTGCAAATCTCAACCTATGTTACGTGCTGTTTGAATATAGGCTTACTTCTGTTTGATTCCAACCCAGTGGAATTGTTTCGACCTTGATTGCAAACAACACTAAACAACTTTGAGTCGGTTCGCACTCCGACACAAGGAGATATTATAGCTCGATTCCAGAATCGATTGCGATGAAGTAGTTCCCTGTCGTCACATTTTACGACAAAATTCATTCCATGGACATCCTTGAATCTACACAACTTTTCATCGAAGGACGGTCACACACAGGCCATGATCCTTTCAGGCCAGGGCAGGTCCTGATCCATTCGGTGCACATATACACCAGTGACTATCACGTTATGCTGCGAACAACTACCTTTACACTTGAGCCGGAGCACCGATGAGTCTGAAGATTGAGTTTCGACTCCGACTTACGACAAAAGTTCGAAGATATCTTTCGCGCCTTGGCTCAACAAAAAATTGTTAAGTTCTGCAGCCGATTCGGATTTTATTAGAAACGGAAGAGGGTCTGGTTGTAGGTGCACGTATTTCCTACGGTACTTTCAAAATGTCATGGCTTGATTTACACCTTGACTCAAAGCTTACGAGCAGTAAATCAATATTCGGCCCAAGAAGCGCAGTTGAATGACAAACGTTTGGCAACATGCAAATAGGCGGCATGCTATTGCA